AAAAAAAAAAATTTAGCCGATGAACTAGGAGCTCGTTGAATCTGTCATTTCACTCAGCAATAGCTCTTTCACTTTCGTCTTAAAAGAGTACCGATTTGTAGCCATCCTGACTTCGTGAGGAAGCGCATTCCATAAGAGGACAACCTGGACGAAGAACGAAGAGCCGACAAACCCAGTGGTGTGAGAAGGACAGAGTAGAAGAAGATTGTTGGCCGAACGAAGGTTTCTGTTGTGGTTGTTGCATAACAATTGAAATTGTGTTGTTAATGTAATGGTAATACTCGTGGGTGAGTAAACATTTATGAGATGTAGGTTCCCCTTGATTAAAAAGAAATATATTTAAAAATACTATACCTACAATAAATAGTAGGTAATTTAATTTTAAACGTTATACTCTGCGGTCTATTATGTAGATGTCGTCTGCAATAGCCTCAAAACAAATGAATATATTTACAAAAAAGTCATTAGTTACCGTCACAAATTAAAATAAGTAGGATATATAAGGATATCCTATATATATATATAGTCCTAAGTTCCTAATAATTTGAATATTTTCAAATGATTTTTCATTTTAATTTTTTTATGTTAATAATTTATTTAGTTCTTTTTTTATAAATTTTATATTTTATTCTTTAATAAATTTATTTTAATTTATTTATTTCTTTTTTTAATAAGTTATTTTAATTTATTTATTTCTTTTAATAATTTATTATAAGAAAAACAAATAAATCATTTCCTCAAAAAACGTAATAAATTTTCAACTACCGATATTTATACCAATGCCAATGGCTACTCGATGGCATCTCAGTAGCGTGTCAGTGGTATGACACTGGCTTGGCGTAAACATAAAATAGCAGAATTGAGGCCCAGCTCGAGGAGAGATCGTCGACACGAACGGACTGCTGGCGTCCCTGAAGATAAGATGAAAACCATTCCAGCGCTTCAGGCGAGAACTTAAGATAGGAGAGGATGGATAAGAGGATATCGTGGCTGACGGTGTTAAAGGCGTTTGAAAAGTCGACCAGAATTAAGACTGTCACTTTTGTATCTTCCAAAGCCACCCTGATATCACCAGTCACTTTGAGGAGGGCAGTGGTGGTGCTGTGGCCAGGCCTAAAACCAGATTGAAATGGGCTTAACAAATCATTTTTGTAGATGAAACCCGAGAGCTGTTTATGTACACAGGCTTCGAGAATTTTGGATAGGAAGGGAAGAATTGATATAGGTCTAAAGTGGTTAGGAAGTGTGGGATTTGCAATTTTAGGTAATGGAATAATGTAGGCTTTGCGCCAAAGTGAGAGGAAAGTTCTGGAGTATAGGGAGTAGTTAATGATATGGGAGATTGCTGGTAAAAGCTGATCGAGAATTGTTGTGATCATGCGTCTTGTAATTTGGTCGAAGCCCACAGCGTTAGATTTGAGAGAGAGGATTATCTTTTTGATCTCACCCTGCGCAACTGGAACAAATTGAAAAGAGTTAGTGTTAGGGGGATTTAGGCTCGCCAAGTAATTGACTGTGAGATACTTGGTGTGGTGATCTAAACGAGTAGACGTGGAGAAATGACGATTTATATTATCCAGACCAACTATCTCCGACTGGTTAGCAGGTGTCTGTTTGCCAATGTCTTTCACATTATTATTTTCATGGTAGCTAGCTACTGGTCTGAATATAATACTAATTTAAATATAGTGCGAATCAAAATTATTTTTTATTTTAGTATTTATGTTATTTGTTATGTTTTTCACGTTACCTCTAAAAATTTTAACCAAATTTACCGAATCTAATGAACTTATTAAACAAATTACATTACCAATTTTTGATACGGATACGGAAGCGACGAAACTAGTACATAATTAATTAAAAATATGTAATACATTTTACATATGCGAGAAGCCCAAAATCGATCTAAGTGGCATGCAAAGGGAGAGAGGCCCATGTTCAGCAGTGGACTGCGGCAGGAAAATGATTTTAACTATTTGTAGCTATACACAAAAACCTTTTTATACGTATTCGCAAATAGTTAATATCGGTTTATTAAAATGCAATCAAATATTTTTTATAACTTTATAATACTACCTATATTTACCTTCTGTTAATATAAATATTTATAAACAGTTAAATCAAAGTTAATTATTTTAACTTAGAATGGCTTTAAAAAAATCTGGTACAAAATATATAATAAACGAATGGACAGCGTTATACGCATCATTTTGGTTCACCAGTAGAGTCACAGAAGGTTTTTGGGGTTACTTAACAATATAGTTTACGAGTTAAACGTCTAAACGGTAAATTCTGTAGAAACTCACTCTAAAGAAACATTTTGAATTTTTTTCGCATACTTCTTAAAAGTAATAAATGCCTTAAAATGTGTATGATACTCAATGTTTCGAGTATTGACAAAAAAATATTTTAACACGCTTTAATTCATTTCATTTATTCCTTATTTATTGTACACACTGGACACACACGTTATATAAGTAACATGTCATGTGTACTTAGGAATCAATACAGAAAAGCATATAAATTAAACAAATACCGACATTCATTTGTAAAATATATTATACGTATAAATACATACATATACTCGTGTACATACATACATATTAAGGGTCTGATTATTGACGGAACAGATAATAATCCCTGGTTCTCTTCCTGAACACGCTCAAAGAAGGGCTATTGCGTATTGCATGCGGTAAGGCATTCCATAGCCGAACAGCCGTAACACTAAAAGAATTGTCATAACGACTCAAAGTGTGGGAGTTCGAAGGAGGAGAGAAGAAGATGAGCGACAAGGATTGTTCCTGGAAACAAAGTGCGCGAAGCGCCTACGTAGATATAAAGGAGAATTAGGGTTGTATAAAGTTGAATAGAGTAAGGAGAGAATGTGAAGATCTCGACGCCGCCAAATAGGTAACCAATTGAGTTGTTTCCGAAATTCCGAAATACGAGTAAAACCGATTTTTTTTAGGCCAAATATAAAGCGGATACAGAGATTTTGTAACCTTTCTAGCTTACCCCTTAGCTAGAAAAGAAACATCAGCATATTCAAGAAGGGGAAGAAAAAGGGATTGAGAGAGGAGGACTTTAGTCTGAAAAGGAAGAAAACTTTGAAGACGTTTTAGAGAGTGATATGTTCTAAAAACCCTTCTACTCACCTCTGTAATTTGTGTGGTCCATGACATGTTGCAGTCTATAAGAACCCCGAGATTTTTAACTTGTATCGAATATGGTATAACAGTATTGTTTTAGGACACTGGAGGTAGCAAAGTGTGATCAAGGCATGTAAACAACATGTAACTGCCACCAACAATGATAGCTGGATTGACAAGCAGCCCGAACGAATTTGCCTATGTACCTACATATGTTCTGCATATCATTATTGATGGCAGTGATGATTACAGAATCAGAAACATTTAGAGACGATAGGGTGCCCAAGAGGATGTCAAAATCAACAGATTTAAAGACGCTGCTGAAGTCCAATAGTACCAATACTGTCAGTTGTTTATTTTTCATAAATAATAATATCTTTATTGTAACAATTAGTGGATTACGAGCTGTGTGTACGGAGTCAGTTCCTTCTCAAAGACAGGGTGTGTGTTTGGTATGACAATGTATTTGGGTTTAGGCTTAGCAGAGATACTTTTGTAAAAGAGAAAAATGAGGTCATGGTATGAGAACATGAGCAGCAACTTTATTAAGATCCGAAGCGAGAATCAGGTCTAAGAGAGAGGGAGTAGAATGAGGAGCGTGATGTGTTGCATTTAACGGGAGAATATGCATGTTAAGTGAGGTGATAAGAGACCGGAGTTTTCGGCTACGTACGTCAGTCTTGAGTAGACACGTGTTGAAATCACCAAGAATAATAGTATCGCTGTTTAAGGGTGATACATTTTCCAGACGAGAAATAGTCAATATAACAACAAGGATACATAAACCTTTTGTGCTTTTTTTCACTGTTACTGTATTTACATGAACTGTTGTCACCTTTGTTGAACCTTGTGTCATGAATAAATTATTAAAAAAAAAAAAAAAGACTATAATAAACACTCACAAGCAGTTCAGTGTGATGGTAATCTATTTCCAGGAAAAGGTGATCTACAAAGCCAGAGTAATTGCTAGGTGACTCTCACGATCAATCACTTTAAATGTGATATCAGATCGTAGATGCATGGCAACCCCACCATAGCCCTTGCCAGTTCTTGCATTTCGTAGCCTGATAATGCATATTATATTATCAATGTATGTAACGGAATCTTCGAACGTGCTTTTGACCCACTTAACACTACACACTTAACACAATACAATAATTTAATAAATTTGGCCGATTATCCTGATCAGGATTTTTAGGATTAACGGCTTTTTCCATACCTAAAATACGGTAGTGTCTTTTGCTACGTACTAAGAGTCGTCTGCTGAAGCAGATGTGACTTACTTACTTGTTTTTTGCAAAACTTGGCAAATTGATAACTCGTGTTCGGGAAATGGTAGAGAGCTCAAATTTGCTATGTTGTCAGTGTTATAGTCTTGTAACTACAATTTTTAGGTCAAAATTTGAATTTTCCAAGTTTTGCAAAAAAATAAACGTGCCTTGTTGCAAATTTCGATCTGATGATCAGATTTTGCACTCTGGAGATTTTAATCAAGAAAACAATTAGACATACATATACAATAGACCAACTACTTTTATTACATCAATAATATTTATAGTTTTACAAGGCTATCAAATCCTTGTTTACTAGCAAGATTGACCGTAAATTTTTTTTTCAGCCTTACATAAAACATCTACAACACTGGCAAAGTATAAGTAGAAGTGCTAGCAAATTATCGTCGTGTCTGTATCCTTGAGTTTAATGGATGATATGGGATTAAAGAACATTCATAAAAAATCTTTTTTTTGTTTCAGGTGAAACTCCGATTACGGTGCTGCTATATCAAAATGGTTGTGGAAGTGTTATAAAACCATAAATCTTTATCCTGCAAGCTTTTAGAAAAAAGTCACGATGACCGCTGGCGAGATTATTGTGGATAATAACATGAACAATACCGACCTTAAGAACCAGAAATTCGAGGTAATTAAAACAATTATAAAGCCTAATGGTGTTATGTGTATATTCATATTAATCATTCGTCATAACATGTTTAAAGAATTTGATGGAGTTCGTTTTGAATAGTGGCCACCGTGAGACGTATTGTCATGAGTGCTAACTTATAATATTTGCTTTTTAAATGCGGTCGTATTTATAATTATTTGATATCAGTGTATAGATAATATTCTTGTGTGTTTTGTTTTAACTTTTGAAAAATAACAAACTTTTCATACATGAACCTTTGGAAACTTGAAACAACTTGTACTGCAATTTAATTGACATTTAAATCAAGGCGCTATCAATTATAGAGACATCGAAGGCGGAGGGTAAGGTCCACTATATTATTGTATCGTATTATATGTATATAGGTATATCTAACGTGCCTAACTATTCACTTCTTTAAACAGGAAAACTACTTACTTTTTTTAAAGCATTCGGCTTACCCAGTAATGACGTAAATGGTAATGAGAAAAGCAAAAAATACCACGAACCCATTTAGACACGACAACTAAATTATTTATTCTATAGGTACCAAACGTCGCATTTATGTAATTTATACCATAGATAACACATATAACTTCTAAGTTTTTATGTAGATATGGTTACATGACGATAAATGAAGTATGTGGAAGTAGTTCTTACTAATAAATCCTTTTAAAAAAAATTTGAAACGAATTCAAACAATACTGACAAAGGGCACTAAAAATTAAAAAATAATTACAAATCTAAGTAAAAAAATATATAATAAGTACCCTCAATATAACAGGTAACATTATAATAGCAATAGTCCCTCTAGTCTGTTTGATGTCGGTGCCAAGCCAAATAGGTGCTTGATAGGCTTGGTAGAATGTAGCACGGCAAGTGCAACAGTCTTCATGCTGCGCATTTCCAATGAGATTATTATTTTGAATCTAATGTAAAGCTGACATAGATCAGTATTTTTTATTGTGCATCGGGCTTGGCACCGCCTTCAAACAGACAGTTTGGATCTATTTTTCCATGTGATCACTAATGTTTGACCATATCATGAAGTGGTCCCTGTTTAAACGGTAGTACCTGTTTATATGGTCAAACGCTGATGAATGGATTAAAATCATGTCATGATATGACGGACAACTTCATGATACACGAATATTTCATGAAATGATCGGATTCATCCTTAATGGAACAATTTTACGAGTCCACGACATAGATAACGTGAACGTCACTTGTAATAAAGTTGTTACTTCGATTTCATGTCGATATTACATAACGTTGTCGTATACGTTACCTTATCCCACAAACTCTTTTGCATTTCAACTCTTTTTTCTTTTTTTTTCTGTGTGGAAATGCCCTCGGATAGCACTTACCAGTGGCAATGTCGGGCTCGAACCGACTAAAACCGCACGCCGTCTCCGGTACCAGTAGTCGGGGAACCAGGTGTACCCTAGAAAGGAAATCTCTGGTGCCCCGACGTACCTTGGGCCATCTACGGCGTTCTGCTAGGGTGACAGATGGCGGACTTCCTTTCTAGGGTATACCTGGTTCCCCGGCTATTAGTACCCGAGACGGCGTGCAGTTTTAGTCGGTTCATGTCCGACATGCCACCGATAGGTGGTGGTGGAAAAAAAAATGGTGACAAATGGCCTCACCTGTCACCCCCAGGCCTGCGCTTATGGAGGATGGAGGTCGTTGTGCGACCTGCGGCGCCTGAGTCGTCTGCGGTACCTGGCCCGTTCCCGAGCCTGGCGGGCTGGACCACCATCTCCTTCGCAAGCGTAACTTGCTCACAGAAGGAGACGGCAGTGTTCCACGCACTCTCGATCCGCACGTTAGCCGCAATCAGGTTATCGAGCGAGAGAACTCCCACTCCGATAGCCGCCACGAGGTCTCGCCTCTGCTCCACCCACGCCGGGCATTCTGCCAGGGTGTGGAGCGCCATGTTCACGGTCCGACCATCGCAGTGGTGGCACTCAGGCATTGCCTCCTTGCGGATCAGACACAGGTGATTCCCGAAACATCCTTTCCCAGTGATCACCTGCGTCAGTCGGTTTGAGAGGGTCCCGTGATGCCTCTCGAGCCAATCCTTCATAACGGGTCTTACCGCCGCGATGACGGCGTGCCCGTTGCATTTCAACCCTAATATATAAACAGGTTATTGCTGTCTTACATTTTCGTAAATTAGAATTAGAACTTAATACGTAACCAAAACCTAACTGAGGCAAATTATGTACATGCACTTGAATCAATATGATCAAAGATACCGATAGTTTTATCTAACAAAGCAGCTCAAATAGAAAGTAGGTATCTACCTACATAGCGAGGGGTAGCGGGTGCGCTGCATCGCCTGCGGCCCAATCTCGGGGGACCACGGGAAGAAGTTCGCCGTCTCTACATGGGCGTCGTGCGATCCATGGTCCTCTATGGGGCGCCCGTCTGGGCTAAAGACATGGCGGGTGCCTCCCGCTGCAGGGCTCTACTCAGAAGCCTGCAGCGGTTGATGGTCATACGGATCGTACGGGGCTATCGTACGATCTCGTTTGAGGCGGCAACGGTCCTGGCGCGATATCCACCCTTCGACATTCTGGCTGACATGGACTCGATGGTCTATGACCAAGTTCGCTATGTCGGTCGGAATGGTGCAGGGGCCGCGCCAGATCATGATCCCGGAATGATAAGGTGGAACATGCATACGCAGGCTCTGCGAACCTGGCAGGCACAGCTCGAAATCCAGGGCTGTGCTAGCCAACGCGCCGGAGCCGTTCTGCCGAGCTTCGAAGCGTGGGTAGGGAGGAACGACTGTGTCACCTACCGATTGACTCAGGTGCTCACCGGGCACGGTTGCTTCGGTGAGTATCTGAATCGAATTGGACGGGAGGTCACGGCACAATGCCACCATAGCGGGACCTACCGGGACTCCGCCCAGCATACGCTGGAGGACTGCCCTGCGTGGGAGTCCCAACGTCAAGTCTTGGTCGGACGAAACCTGTCACCGCCAGCATTGAACGCGGCAATGCTGGCCGGTGGCGAGGGATGGGCAGCCGCGGTCTCTTTCTGCGAGGACGTTATGCTCCAGAAGGAGGCCGCAGAGCAGGATCGGGAGAGGGCCGATCCCGCTCGAAGGAGGCGACGAAGGGGAAGCGGCAGAGGTCGTTAGCTTCCCCTAAGGGTCGCTGCGGCCACATCATGGGGCTATGTGGCCGCTGCAAACGACCCGAGACAAACGACACTCCGGTGCGGCCAGGGGGTGTTGTGGGTGGCGGGGCGCTGTTGCGCCTCCTACTGTATAGAGCAGTGAAAGGCGCGGCAGCCCAGTCACCCCGGGATGTGCCTCAGACATGGGAGACGGCAGGGAGGACTCCAGAAGCCGCCGATGCGTTCCTGGAGCTCGTCCTGACTGCCGAGGTAGGCCGCCGCGGGGTTTAGTGGGTAAACTGGTTCTCCGGGAGTCCCACACACGCTCTGCGTTTCCCAAACGGAGAGTATGGTGCGAAAAGCATTTCTTTTCTTTTTCTTTTTTTTTCTTTTTCTTTTAAAAGACAACTCCCGCATTAGGAATAAATCCTGTGTCGCGGGGGACTTTACAAACATACATGAAACGGACACAAAGAACACCCAGACTCAGAACAACAATTTGTGGATCACACAAAGTGTCGTCCCATGTGGGGTTTGAACCCACAACACTCGGCGTAGTAGGAAGCGGCGTGGCGACCGCTTAAACCACTACGCCATCCGTGCAGTCAAGTGCAGTCAATTTCCCGCGTTAAAAAAAAAAAACAGTTATCTACCTACATAAAGTTACAAATCTTAATCTAAATAAATTGCCTAGCCTACAAATCCATCATATTGCACAGTACGTTTTAATGATGACGTGTAAGTCGTGTCTGCAGAACAATGAATTTATTGTTCAGAGGTTGTGTCAAATGTAAAACAGGCAATCTTCGGCGGCAAGTTTATGTCCTTGTATAGATCTCCACACGGCTACGCCATTACTCTGACGATCAAAGGGCTGGAGTGGTAATGAAATGTAAGTCAACCGGTTGTGACGTAGAGGCAGCTTGTTACACAATTGCCGGGTCATGTTCGTTACATGCACGTCGTCTTCCATCTCAGGTCATGGCAGGAGACGTGCACGCAACGTATGGTTCACTGTAGGGGTCAGTTCCTTTATTAATCGCCGTGTTGCGTGTTATACATACAACACTTTCTGGCAAGTGGTCCGATGTCGAAGACACCGTCTGATTTTACGGGTTCAATTATAACATTCTTGTCATGCATGAGCCAGGCAAATAAATAAATATACATTAAATAAAAGACATTTGCAATACAATGTTATCTATAAATATATACATCAGTAATGAGAGAGGCCTATGTCCAGCAGTGGACTGCGATAAGCTGATGATGATGTTGATACATCAGTATACATCGTCGTTTAACAATCTTATTTTAGTCAGTTATAATTAATTATGCTTTATAACTTAATTATTATTGCTGACATATTATACTTGTAGGTACTATAATAGGTTCACATTCGACTTTTGCAGTATAAAATCTTAAACGCAAACGGACTTATGGATTAATAACTATCTTAATTATACATACTGTGTGATTAAGTGTACACCTAGTCGTACAAGAACGTAATCGTGTAGATAGATAAACTTTTTAAAAAAAAACTGGTTTTTCTGTTTAGTAGAAATGATATCAAGGAGAGAAGGAGTACAGTAGGGAAAGTAGCTGTAGCATTTTAAGGGAGAATGGTCAGTCTCCCATAAGGGCAGTGCGAATATACAACGACCAAAGGAGCCATATTCTTAACGTACCAAGAACGAGTAAAAATAAAATCAGTATGAGGGACAAAATCCTTTTCTTTTTATTTATTGACAGTGTCATCATCCAAAATCAGTGCAAAATCCTTGTTCGTATTTGCAATAAATGTCTCAAATTGACACTGTATCGTTGCAAATACGAACAAGGATTTTGCGATGATTTCGGGGAAGTTCAAACCCAGAAAGAAATAGGATTCTGAAGGGACACAACGCTTTAGATATGGCTGCATTTTCGTACAGTCAAACGAAACAACGTATCAGGAAAAAGAACCTCGGCTATATACATATATTCTATTTTTATGGTATAGAGAGCAAACGAGCAGATGGGATGGGATGGTAAGTGACTACCGGCGTCCATGGACACATGCAACTCAACTGCGTTGCCGCTCTTTCAATGCCTCTTTCTGTGTAGGGGTTTGGATATTGGATCCGGTAACTTTACTCACTCGTGAAAAGTAACACCGTGCTTAACGCCGGTTTTCGAAGAGGTGTATCACTCCAGTTGAATACGTATCCGTACGTGCTGAAACATGGCTCTCCCACAGCAATACTTTAGGCGTTCATGTTGTGAACTGCATGAAGTTGAATAAACTTGAAAGGATAATATCAAACCGAGATTTACAATGGCTTGGCAATTAAACTTGATTAAACTAGCTGTCAAATTAGCAAAAAGCTTCAAAGCTTATGTATATATATAAGCTTTGAAGCTGGTTGTATATCGTGTCAAAATTTGAGCTCAATCGGTGCAGTACCTTTTTTGCAACCACAATGTGCAATAAAAGGGTAGAAAGAATTCTCTTCTCACATTAATGTATGGAAGTACGCTGCATTCTTATCTGTTTTTTAATAATTTCAATTGATTTATTATTATTACATTGCCAAGTAACTTATAGCACATGACTGCACTACACATAATTGAAATACTCACAATACCACTCATTTACTTTTTAAGTATATATTATGAATATTTGATTATATATAATTATGCTTCTGAGCCCTCGAATTCGTACTTATATGATAACTAGACTTTGCCCGCGGCTCCGCATATGTCCCTTATCATGAATCAAATTACCTTTATACCAATGTGCATTTGAACCAGTTCAGCGGTTATTGGTGCCCCATACAAACTTCCACCCCACTTCTCAACCCCTTAAAGGATGATTTCGGAGATAAAAACTATCCTATGTCCTTTCCCGAAACTCAAACTATTATTATATACTAAATTTCATCTAAATCATTTCAACGGTTTAAGCGTAACAGACAGACAGAAACTTTCGCATTTGTAATATTTGTACGGATATTGATTTTTTCCGTTTGCTTTGTAAATTTATCTACATAATTTACTATGTAAACATATTTGGAAACATTTAAATATACCTACTGTGTTTACTACATCTATACTAATATTATAAAGCTGAAGAGTTTGTTTGTTTGTTTGTTTGAACGCGCTAATCTCAGGAACTACTGGTCCGATTTGAAAAATTCTTTCAGCGTTAGATAGCCCATTTATCGAGGAAGGCTATAGGCTATATATCGTCACGCTAAGAGCAATAGGAGCGGAGCACCAATGAAGAATGTTTAAAAAACGGAGAAAATTTATTACTATTGAGAGACGCAGACGAAGTTGCGCGGGTCAGCTAGTCATGTATACGAGTATACTACTAAAAAATAATATATGTGCATTTGACTCAAAGACTTTGTTTTGTAAAGAAGTATGCATTAATTAAGGTATTTTACACGTAAATGTTAAATGCTCCGCATTTAACATTTACTTGTATAATAATTTTCGTGCCCTAAAGTTGCTTAAAAATCAGCTTAAGATCTTTTACTATAAATAATTTATTTTAAAACAATTTTACATAATACTGTGGCACTTATATATCGGTGTTCTTATAGTAACAACATTTTACACTTGAGCTGAAAACTATTTTAATAAAGTATTCGGAATTGAAATATTTATCGGTATATAAAACATCAATATTTTCCTTTTTTTAAATAGGTAAACGGCATAAAAGCAAATTTAAATCGTAAATAGTTTTATTATAACATTTTGTTTGTAATCTTACAAATGTATAGAGATCTAGAAATATATTTATATTTACAAATAATATGTTTTATATAAATATATATTTATTCTATTTATTTTATTCTATTAGTGTGATTTTACACGGCCTTTCAATCATTTAAAAAGCAGTTCGCTTTAAGAACACAGGAATTTTGGTAATGGGAAATTTAGTGAACGATGTTCAATATCTTGTAAAAAGTCAGAATTGATAAGGTAAGGATAGTAAAAGAATTTATAATGACAAAAATTAAAAAAACCGGAGAGTCGGACTCGCCCACCGAGGGTTCCGTACAAATTTGTAGGTACATTTACAGGATTTAATTACAAATGTATAGTTTTCAGATTTTTCCCTACACTTGTAGTCCTAGACGGTATTACTTGACAAATTTCATGGTTCTAGGTCTACGGGAAATATCCTATAAATTTTGATTCCCTTGAGAGTGTCGAAATATACGTTTTTTGGGGCGTATCTTTTTTTACGTTAACTTAGAAGTTTGATTTTTTTCACAGCTTCAAGATACTGTAGGTAGTACTAAACCTGAGTGTATCGTTTTAATTTCAACTCGATACCTCCACGCGTTCCCGAGATAGAGGGTCTTGACATACCGACGGACGGACAACGCAACAACCTGAAGTTGCCGTTAAAGTAAAACAGTAATTTTAAATACAGCGGCGGTTACCGTCAAAGGAAGGAAAGTCAAGTTCAAGTTCAAGTACGGAAAAGTTCTCTCCATAGCTTCAAGGAACTCCAAGAGCTCTTTAAATTAAAGGAGTGCATCATGCCTTCAAGCCAGCGTGTATCATTAAGACTTTGTAACTTTACTCTTTTCGCTTCTGAGTGTTTGTAAAGGATAGCTTAGATAAGCTTCAAACTTTTTGCTGACTCACGCACAAAACTGGTAACACTATTTACTATTCCCATCATATTGCGAACTTTAGTCAAGCTATATGCCTTCATAATAGCTAGGTTTAGTTTATGCGCTGCACAATGCATTTAAGGCGCTAATAGCGGTTGGAATAGGACATGTTGGTACCCCCGTCATAGCCTTAACCTTTCAAATTCCTAATTTTTAGACCGACTCTATTTAATTCTTGAATTGTCCTGTTGTTGGACGCTGTTTCTTAATCTTTTTGGAGAGATGAATCACCTGGGTCAATGCGAAATCAAAAGTACTCGAAATTTTCCTTGACCGATTTCATCACGATCACTCAATGTACTATCATCTGGTAGCCTCTTAACTCAATACTTATAAAGGAATAGCTGTATCCTGCTACGATTCGCTGTGGCACGTTCTGCTTGTATTTATGAGAAATGATTAACAAAACTGTCTCTTGAGTCCCTTAGCCCCCTCCCCCCTGAATCCGCCACTAGATAGATAAGTAGCCTCAATGTCTTAAAGTTATTTATGTTTAAGTTAAACTTACTGTAACAACATTTATAATTATTATTATCAATGTTTCTATAAAGAATAGTGTTAGTATAAATAATAACTCTGATCTATGTTTTTACACACGTTTGTCGGAAAATGAGCATTAAACAGCCACCTTATGTGTATGTAAGCTATTGTTGCCAATAGACGGTCTATCATTTTTCTACATTAAACCGATCACTACTCTTAATTTATATTATTTACTAGCTAAGACCAGCGGTGTTACCAGCGGGCAACGCCGCGGGGCGAAGCTAGTCTTCAAAAAGTAGCCTAAGTTACTCCTTATGTCATCAGCTATCTGCCAGTGAAAGTCCCGTCGAAATCGGTCCAGCCGTTTCCAGAGATTATCCGTAACAAACAGACAGACAGACAGACAAAAATTGTAAAAAATGATATTTTGGCACATGTACCGTGTAAACATACATGTGTATTTATTAAAAAGCGGTTATTTTAATATTACAAACAGACACTCCAAATTTATTTATTTGTATAGATTTATAAATATTTATGGTTTATTAATTTTTAATCCTGGGTTAGTCATAAAGAGTTGCTATCTTCGGTATTAATCTTATCTCATGCTAACACCGTTTCATTGTTACCAGTTTATACTTATCTGCCGTGCCGTTATGTAGTTTATATTTTGTTGTTGTAGGTGAAGGAAAAAGACTTCGATCTAGAGAGGGGACAGAGCACAAAGCAGGGAAGACAGATACCTTGGAACAAGATTATCATCGGGATGCTGGCGTTAGGAGTTCTGGTTGCCGCAGGCGCAGTAACCTGGGTGTTCCAGGACTGGCAAACTATGCTTATAGTGGTGGCCATCCTCTGCGTCGTGTACATTTTAGTCTTCTATCATAGATGGATCTACGTCGCCTCTCGGACAGCAAAAAGAGACTTTAGGTGAGGTATTTATATGTAAATATGTAGGTAACTAGCTATTACTCGGGGCTTCTAACTCTGAAAATGATGAAACTTCTGTACAATCGTTCATCCCTTATTTAACCCCCTTAGAGGGGAAACTTATAAAAATCCTTTTGTAGTGGGTGCTTTTAACCAATAAAAAGTATTAGCGGTCAAAATTTCAAGTAGCCCCAGCGATTTATGCTGCGTGTTAATGAATCAGTGAGTCAGAGCAAGTATTTTTATATAATAATAATAAAAATATATTGTATAGATTATGCCCGAGGTGCGAGGTCATTGATATTCTTTATTTAATGTATTCGTTTTTACTCATTTAAACTCACGCCTGAGTCTTCGAAGAGGTCGAATTAAAATTCTCATTATGCTTCATTTTGTACAAACACAAATACGTTTTTATTTCCAGCGCCTTATTCTGCTATGTCAAGATATTATCGATGACTAAAAAATTCAACAATAAGAGTTACTCTATGTCAGATATCTTCCACGATGTTGTGTCGAAGCATCCGAAAAAGGCTTGCTTCTTATTCGAAGATGAAACATGGAACTTCCAGCAGGTACATAATATCTAGACTGTACTAATTGAATAAAATATAACTGACGATAAATGAGTTTCTACAAGTGTTATTATACTATGGCCACTCCGGTAATTTTTGCTAAGCTAAGCTAATTTTATTTTGTTGTGTGTGTTGTTGTTGTATGTGTGTAATTATATAATTTTCGATTCTAATAAATAAACTGAAAGCTCACAAAACTCAAAATGTGACGGGCTATGATGCCGGGCATGCCGGTGTATGTATATCGTCTCGTTCATTTCTCTTTTTTTACTTTAATTACATCCGCCGGAAAGGTAGACGGCGCGCTGTATAACTACTTTCTTATTCTGTGAAAGGTCACAAAAGTTTTTAATATTATAGGTTGAAGAATACAGTTTACGAGTTTCAGCAGCTCTTAAATCTAGGGGCATTAAGCGCGGAGATACAGTAGCTGTGATGATTGGAAATTGTCCTGAGATGCCATCAATCTGGCTTGGCGCCACTAGAATTGGAGCTATCTGCCCTCTTATCAACACCAATCAAACTGGCAATACACTCTTGCACTCAATCAACATTGCAAAATGTAACGTAGTCGTGTATAGCGATGAGTTCGAAACTGGTATGTTCAGTTCTTAATATACTTTGTTACTAATTAAAGCATACAGTATTTCATACATGATACCAATTGCAAGCTTCAGATAATTTAAGTGCATTTAGGCATTATAGTTACCAAATTTTTTCGGCCATATCTTGCTGGTCATGTAAGTCATCTTATTGATTTTTGAATGCAGAAAGCAACAAAAGATTTCATCACTCTTAGCGGTAGAAAAACTGCCATGCATTTTTTACATATTCTATACGAGTTTGTGTGGAAACTAAAGGAAACATGTTTCTTCTCTAACTCATTGTTTCTTTACCTACATGTCTAAAAGTAATTATACATCTATTCGATAGAAGTCAAATGAAATTAGGGGATTTGCTTTGTTATTGATATCTTGTCCTATTGCAAATTCAGACGGTAACTTTGTTTTGACGTTTTCTTGACTTCGCTGGGGGCACTGCTATGCTAGGAAGACTAAAGTATTACTCATATTTCATAAATTATTATTTCAGCTTTCCAAGAGATTTCAAAAGATTTAAGTCCAACACTCCAGCTGTTCAAATTCACACGACGACCCCTTAACACATCTCCAGACTCTGTGAAAGTAGTTGAATCTCAGAACGACTTCACATCTATGTTAGAGAATATCAACCCGGCCCCATGGACTAAGTCTGATACTGAAGGCTTCAATGCCAAAATGTTGTACATTTACACTTCAGGGACTACTGGTTTACCAAAAGCAGCTGTCATTTCGCCTTCAAGGTAAATGCGCATCTAACAAAAGTTAAGACTCTTTTAGTACCTTTTTTTTTAATTTCATGTTCTATTGTATTCCGTTATGGAATTATATTTTCATTACAAGATAAATCCTTTAAAAAAAAAGTTGAACTGACTTCAAACAATGCTTCAAAGAGCACTAAAAACATAGCAGCAATCGCGGTTCATTTGCTGTCATTTTTTGAAGAGTTCCGTTGTCTGTCTCCGAAACTCATCACCAGATCTATATGAAATTTAAATGGGACCATTTCGGATAAACCCTGTTTGAACAAAAAAATAATTTTGCAAATCCGTCTACAGGTAAATGACGGAGTTATGCCCGAACATAAATAAAGAAAACATCCAAATTGATACATATTGATAAATAATATTATATTTTACATCCATTCTGTACAAACAATAGAATAATAATTCTAAATTAATAAAAAATAAATTATAGGTAGGTACAAGGTAATATATTAATTATAAATTCTTAGAAGTTATAAATCTATATCCACAACATTGATTATGTACATTAAAATATTATTAGATGTAATAGGATTATAAGTATTAGTCCAAATTTGAATTTTTAACTTTTTATTTTCAGAATGGTTTTTATGGCTTCTGGCGTCCACTACCTAGGCGGTTTACGAACGAGTGACGTTATCTATTGCCCTATGCCTCTATACCACTCTGCTGGTGGATGCATCTCAATGGGTCAAGCTTTCATCTTCGGTTGCACTGTAGCTCTACGGACTAAGTTCTCAGCGTCTGCCTACTTCCCCGACTGCATTAAGTACAATGCGACGGTGAGTGAAAGCTCGGTGAAAGCAACTATTATAGTTTTTGTAGGTCATAGTATACGATGAAACAAACCTAGCTAGGTTAATTTTAAGTAATATTAAAACTTGTGAACTTTTAACAAACAATAGCTAGGATAATGTTTGTTTTTAACTAATTTTTTGCTTTTCAGATTAACAAGTTTTATTTATTTTTTGTACTGTAAAAAGTTATGCGTGGTCATTCCTAAAAAGCATATCATTATACAAACGCGACCACTTGAGAATCTTCTGTATTTTTTGTCACTTAATTCTGAATTTATTTTCAGTAATTTTTACTGAGTCAATCACGCATTTTAAGTGGAAAACAAAAAAACTATAAGTATACATAGACAAGTATAAATCTTAGACTGCCTTGTTGTATTTCACAAAATCAGTTATGTATTATGTGGTTGCAGGCTGCCCACTACATTGGTGAGATCTGTCGATACGTGCTTGCGACGCCACCCTCTCCTACCGACACGCAACACAAAGTTCGCACAGTATACGGCAACGGAATGAGGCCGCAGGTAACTTTCATCATTCATTTGTTTGTAGAGAGTGAACATGATCACAAAGGTGTTTTTACTGCGCAACATGAATTATTAAGATGTTCGCTGTACACCTAATAAATGATGTGACATGCCTTTCAGATATGGACAGACTTCGTGAAACGTTTTAATATTAAGAAAGTGGTGGAGTTTTATGGGGCCACAGAAGGAAATGCCAATATAGGTGAGAAAAAAAAAATCACAAGTCTTTTAAAAAGCATATTAACATAAAAAATCTAAATGAGGTTTAAATTGTGTTTTGTTGTGTTTACTTACTATGTTGTATGTTGTACTATGAAGTAATGTACCTACGTATCATAACTTAACTGATTTTATTAAAATTAAAGTTCATAATGTTACTAATTTTAACTTTACACGCGGCTTTGCTTGCGTGTACTTAAGTAAGTATTCCATCCCTTGTAAACTTGTATGACAATTTCCATGACGCTCGTAGAATACTAACAAACTTATACATATATGTAGGAATATGATATTTTCTTACATTTATCTATCAGTAATGTACCAGTCTCCAACAAGAGTGCTAGGCTTTTTAATTTGATTATTTAACACAATCCTTACCTTCTTTCAGTTAACATTAACAACAAAACTGGTGCCATCGGTTTTGTATCCAGAATCATTCCAGCAGTGTACCCTATCGCTATCCTCAAAGTCGATCAAGAAACTGGAGAACCCGTTAGGAATTCAAAAGGCTTATGTCAGGTAATGCCAAACTAATACGTACAAAACAATTTAAGGAAATTTAACATTGTTCAAATGTAATTTTAAGTTCCGACTAATTCATCACATCATCACATCAACAGCCTTTGATAATCCACTGCTGGACATAGCCCTCTCCTTAGAAAGGAGATTTTGGCCTACTATACCACGCTGGCCAGACCGGTTGGTATAAGTGGCGGGGGAGTTTACAAACATACATGAAACGGACACAAAGAGCCCCCAGACTCCGAACAACAATTTGTGGATCGCACACAATGTCGTCCTATGTGGGGATCGGACCCACTACACTCATCGTAGTAGTAAGCGGCGTGGCGACCGCTTAAACCACTACGCCATCTGTGCAGTCAAATTAATCACATCAATTAGAGTTGCACTTCGTTAGATTGCTTATGTATTAAGTAGGTAATTGCCTACGTTACATTATTTGTAGAGCAAAACTCTACATTCACGTGTAATAAATGCTAAGACTTTACAATGAGGTGTTTAACAAGAATCTACCCCGGGAGCCCAGCCTAAGAAAAGTCTGAAAAACGCATATAGAATTTCAGTCAGAAGCAATACAGTATTTTAGTAACTAATATTACGATGTACAATAATATCAAATTATTTCAATTTATATTTTATATAATTTTTTGTTATTGTTGTAGTTAGCCAAACCTAACGAGCCTGGGGTGTTTATAGGAAAAATTATTCCAAACAATCCTGCAAGAGCCTTCCTAGGGTACGTTGATAAAGAAGCTTCCGATAAGAAAATTGTTAGAAATGTCTTCACACATGGAGACTCAGCATTTATTTCAGGTTAGTAAAAAACTAGTACAGGCAATGACGTCTATCTAAATGATCTATTAATTACACAGTATCAACCCGGCCACAAACCTTAGCTCAGAATGATGGTCTGAATATAATATTTCAGTATTCGTTACGACGTCCCTAACATCCTGTATATTATGGAACGCTATAGTTTAAACGTTATTATATAGTGAGAGACGTTTTACACCGATCATTTTACTACTTAATGATCCTAGTAATAAAATTCTAATTATATATTTAATTTATTTTCCTTTTGTATTTTTAGGTGACATTTTAATAGCTGACGAACTGGGCTATTTATACTTCATGGACAGAACAGGGGACACGTTTAGGTGGCGTGGCGAGAATGTTTCAACTACTGAAGTCGAAGCCTCTGTCTCGAGGGTTACGGAACAGCGGGATGCTGTCGCTTACGGAGTAGAGGTTTGTTAAAATTTCTAGCAGACAATTGTGTATGGTCGTAAATATGAAACTTATACAATATTTACACAACGCCTTTAGTAAGCAACTTAATGCGACTTTAACACTCAAAAACCTTTAATAAATCTTTATTTAGATAGATTCAACTAGTAAAAAGTGTATAAGACAGTATGTCACACAATTTATGTTTACATTAAGGGAAACAAAATACCCTACTTTTTAGTAACAAGTTTATCTTCTTTTGTTATTTTTTATGGCAAGAAGATAAAATAGAAAAAAAACCGAATCTTTTCTTGCTGGTCTGATAGAAAAATATTTAAAGTTTTGATATAACATTGAATTCAAGGTTATTTGAAAGAGAGAGTAAGTGGCGAAAACATCAGCACCAAGATTGACTAACAAGTTTCGTGTCACGCGATTTTAAATTTCAACCTCACACCTCACAGTTACACACACAAGGTTATTGAGGCAATGAACATGTAAGATGACGACAATTTTACGGTGATAATGGATTATCACTGCATTCAACTATCAACGTAAAATTATCTTTCTCCCCTGAGGTGGGTCTACGTTAGGCAAGCCGAGCACGGGCGGAGCCGTTCTGGGCGTCGCTCGTCGTTTGCGGCTGTCAAGTGTGGACTTACAACGTGCCTACAACTATCACTTTCCTCAAACGTAGTTTTCCGCAGTGTGCTTGCGGCTCATAGCGAATATGGAGGAGTGTAATGCTGCAGCGATTATTTTAGCCGAAATCAGTAAAAAAGCTAACAGATGGAGATCTATAAATTTTATAAAGACAAAATTCTATTAAATGCAAACACACATCTTCTGCCCATGTTCCTATGATGCTCGAGTGAAACGTCTGTCACTCAACACGTCCACGAGCGCACTGCAAATCTCTTTGCATTCGTTTAAAACCGACAATTGGTGGAGAGCCGTGAAGAACGAACGAAATGCTCGAACCGCACTCGTTCGAGCCTTGTAAGTCGGTCCACATTTTACAAATTTGTGCTCGGCTCGTCTAGCGTAGACCCACCTTTATGATGTTAGTTCAGCCAATTCTTGTGTGTCTTTTTCCTATCTAGTTAGTAAAAAAAAATCGATAAAGTTTATAACAAAAAGGATAATCTATATTTATTAACGAAGCTACCGTATTCGTTCTAATTATAGATGATAGATTCTAATTATAGATGACGACCGAATGGCGTAGTGGTTTGTGTAACGGACTGCTATTCCAAAGGTCGCGGGTTCGATTCCCGCTCAAGTCAAGCATTTGTGTGCATGAACATTTAATGTTTGATTTGGTCTGGGTGTTTCTATGTATAATATGTATGCATTTACAAAAAAAAAAAGTATATATGTATTTATTTCAGTTGTCTAGTACCCATAGTACAAGCTCTGCTTAGTTTGGGACTAGATGGCGTTGTGTGAATGTGGTAGAATATTATTATTATTATTATTATAGATACCTAACACCGATGGGCGAGCAGGCATGTGCGGAATAGTCGATGAAAACGGCACATTAGATTTGGATAAACTTGCTAAGGACATTGCGAAAGACCTACCGAAGTACGCACGACCCATCTTTATAAGGATTATGACTAGTGTCGACATGACCGGTAAGTTAGACAATTGTTTACTATTTGCAAGATATGTTAAAACATACCCACAACTTTAAAATTAAATGTCATTATTTCATACTCTGGAGCCTCAACTTTTATTACGCATGCACATCATGACTACAAAGTCATTTCCAGGTAACAACTTAAATAAAGTTAATGTCTTAAAAAAAGAATTTGTTTTTTTTTTTAAAAGAATTTGATTTGAATTTGTTTTTTATAGAACTTTTACTTTTTAAAATAATGTTTCGAACGCCCATTTCATGAGCTATTAGGCAGACAGATACTATAGCTACACAGACTACATAGAACACTTTAAGAACAACTTACTTAGTTATGTTCTGTCTTGATTACAGGAACGTTTAAAATGAAGAAGACAGACTTGCAAAAGGAGGGATACAACCCGTCGGTCGTAAAAGATAAACTATATTACATGGATCCGCAATTAGGAAAATACGTTCCTTTAGGCAACGAAGAATATGAGAAGATTGTTTCGGGACAAATTAGACTGTGATTTTAAATTAATAATTGACTTAAATATGTTAAGTGCCTTTCTGTTTTTATATTGTTAAATATTTATGTGACTGTTTGTAACTGGATTTACTGCTGGTAAGTAGCTAGGTATATTTAATGTTTTTGATGCGTATTAGTTAATTAAATTATGTAAAGTGTAGGTAGTATGTTAATATTGAAACGATAGTTCGAAATTAGATGTAATGATTGGGCTACAATTGTACTTTTTAAATATTTATCTTTGGCTAGAGTGTACGAGTATGTGTTTCAAATGTATGTAGGTTATTTTAATAAGTTATATAATACCTACTAATACATGCAAGAAGGCTGGTCAATCGATGTAATCTCATCCAGCCTTGGACACGCTAATAAATTAGTAATGTCCTTAAAAAAAGATAATAGGTTATATGCACCTTAAACCTATGATAATACAGGAAGACAAGCAACCGTGCAAATTCTTGAGTCTGTTTTGTTTCAAGAGAAAGAAACCCATGACTCTCTGTATAAATAAAAGAAATGAAAAACATTTTCCTCGACTATGCTACAGACAAAAAAAGGATAAAATGATAGTTATTTCTTCAAGTAGGTAAGTATTTTCAAATATTTTTACGATTAGGAGATCTACACATAATCCTAAGACAGCAAATTAGTTAATTCATTTGAGTTTTGTTTGAATTTACGATATTTATTGTGTATAATTTTACATCTAATAGCCTACACAATTATACTAATATGCATTTATGTTGTATTGTAAATTTGTATTGTATCATATTATGTTGACTTGGATTATAACGAATATGTAATAATGTTTAACAGTAAGTTATGTGATTACTTTAAGTACTTAAATTAGCTCAATTCTTTGCAACACGAAGACATCATATCATTATATTATTTTAAGTAAGTAAGTAGGTACACATTTTTGTACTTACAACGTTCTGGGGCAGACAATAAACGTTTTTTAAAGAGCAGCAGTATTGTTTCAATTTTACGGTGTAATCTTCAATCAAAAAGCCTATCAGTTTGTAGAGTTCTTGAGGCAAAATCCGTCTATTTAAACACTTTTTTCCTGTGCGGAAATCTCCTCGGATACCACCCCCTAGGACTCGAACCGACTTAAAACCGCACGCCGTCTAGGGTACCAGTAGCTAGGAAACAGGTGTACCCTAGAAAGGAAATCCCTTATACCCCGACGTAACTCGGGCCATTTGTGGCTTGTAGATGACCTCCTTCTGAGTGGGAACCCCGATGTGGGCGCGTCACGCTGCCACCCTGGCCTGCTTTTGCTGGGGTGACAGATGGCCACTCCACACCTTCTGCGACATCCGGCGCCGGAGTGGTCTGTGGTACCTGGCCCGTTCCTGGGCCTGGTGCACCGGGAGAGTTCTAAACCTCTACCGATCCCACACCGCCGTCTCCTTGACGAAGTATAACTTCAACATAAGACCATATACCAATCTTCATAACGAGTCTTACCGCCACAATAACGACTTGCCGAAACTCTACAAGAAAAAACTGTTGATAAAACATTCAACACAACACAACAAACATCATTCACGCTCCATACAAAACGTACCCACTTCATTACTATAGCAAAAATCAAACAATGATGATAAAGAATAACTTAATCTCGCTTAATAATAATATAATATGACAAAAAGTCTAATTAAATACAATCATCATTAGGTACCTAAGTACCTACGTAGATATTTATGTGTAGGTATTAGTGTTATAAAATATGTGTAAGGAAAAAGACTTCATTTTGTTACCTACGTGGCTTTATTCATATGTTATAATTCCGCAGGTTTTGCGATAACATTTTCTAAACCTAATGCAGGTGGATTTATGGGATGTTGTTGGTGCCTCGCGAACATCATGTACCACACTATGCACATAGTGTGGGAACAGCAGCCCACCGTTCTTTTGCCAACATTGCATGAGCAATAATAATACGGTATGGCATCACGGCCACTCAATGATGTGTCGATGCCAATGTAAACATAATATACTCTGGCCCGAACATGCCGAGATTGTACTCTTCCTCTTATAATTATTATGTTTTCTCCCAATTCTCTGACGTGTTCTGTTAAAAGTCTGTCGCCGAGCTCGATCGTAAAAACACCATTTGGATTGATGTGCCCGCCGTAATAGCTTTTAGCTTGTTTTATTTGATAAATACCCAAACTAAATAGTATTAAATCCTCTTCTGAGAGCCTTGGAAAATCATCGAACTCGGGCATACCGGCGGACATCGGCTGAAATTGTGCTCGTCTTCTATTATAATTATACCTTACAACTGTTTCAGCCAGCGTGTTAGTAATTGACATTCTATGGTTTATTATGGCCAAAAACCATTGGGCATGAATATTGTCATTTATTATTATATGGTATGATTAATTATAGCAGCCGCTATCTTAAAACAATCAAACGTGTGAGGAAGAGCACGATTTATATTGAAAAGTCTCAAAAATCTAAAATCCCGTTTGAAACGCCCATTAACTACCTTACCACCCACCGACAGATAGTTACAGGGCGAGTTTTATTTGCTTGCATCGTTGTCAGCTGACTTTCATTTCGGAGCTTGGCTTCAGGCATATGTGCAGAATATCCCAGTGACTCCATTGGTGATGTGGCATATCTGAAGCCGCGATCCAAAATAAATACTTCACCTTGTCTAAAAAACCAATTAAAAACACCATCGCCGGTTTCAGTTTCATTAGGTTTCATTGTTTAGGTTTTTAATTATTCAGAAATAGTTAATTGATACATAAATGTAAATGCTCATTTTATGATTTTCGGAGATCCATTTTGGGTCTAAAAGTTGGTCGTAGACGTTTGTTGTAATAATAAAAAATGTTTCAAAGATCATTTGCCGTAAGATGACACAGTTTTTTTTACTGGCCGGGACTTAAATTTTTGGGTACATTTTGAATGATGTCCTTTACGCCAAATCATTTACAAATTAATTCATTTACCTTTTACGTTTGATTTAACAAATTAAAAATAGTAAGCAATTTGAACAGTGGAGTTCCCAGTACCCAAATACCCAAATCAGTCAGAGTACCCAAATCTTTCCCTCGATTCTCGATGTCTCAAGGAGAATAACGTTTTTGAAGAAGACTGCGGCTGCCCATCCTTCGCTACTCGCCAGCATTGCCACGATCAATGCTGGCGAGGACAAGTTTCGTCCGATCTGTCCGACACACGTACATTGTGGTAGATATATCATTTTCAGGAAGACGAGCAATCGCTTACTATCATTGTACATGCATTGTAGGAAAACGACCTATTGGGTGCTATTCTCACAAAGTGAGTTATGCTCGGCATCTACAACGTATAGTACAGAAGCTTTAGGATTAGGAAATATTGTTGTTCTGCCCGATGATGGTGATATGATTGTTTAACTTCACAATAAACGTACGAAAAAAGTATTTTCATTTTATTAGAACCCCTTCCTTCCCCTCCAACATTAACTACGGACTAGGATCCATGGCAGAACAATTATTTGGTTTGTACTGTTTCATTTAAATGATGTCCTTTCCTTTGTTTGGTTGAACGGAGAAAAAACCAGTTCTGATTTTTTTAAAAGAAAATACGTGATGTTTTAAAAAAAATACTAAGAAAACATCAGGAATTGATACTTATTGACAAAAAATTTAGAATGTCGTATTCACTAAAAATCCGAATTTCGATTGAATTACTGTTTCTGGCAACACCTTCATACGAAGTTGACATTCTCGTAAAATTTAGGTATTTTGCCAACATTTAACAGTAATTGAAATAAATAAAGTACTGTATGAATATTAATAAAATTGTATTACCGTGTTTAAAATTTCGTAAACATATATTTCTTTGTGTTATGAAACACCAGTTTTAGTGCTTCAAATAATATTTATTTTATTTTAATTATTTATCATAGTGGTGTTGTGAAACTTCAGAAAATTGAAATTAATCAGACAGTTCGAAAAAATCAGTATATGTTATAAATTGTACTACTAACAGACAGTTAATACTATTATAGAATGGTCGATGTCTGAATAAACATTTTAGCTAAATAAGAGTTCAAATCAATGCAAACTGGAAAGCGACAGTTACACTCGCCTCACCACAGTCGCAGTGGGTCACCGGACTCACCGGCGTCGCCGCTGCTTTTTAGTTAAGCGCGTTTTGCAGCGAAAGACGGTCGTGATGGTGCTCGTGTTAGCGGCTATAGCCGCGGCCTGTGCCGCGATTTGGTTGTCCCAAGGATTCTCATGTATGCTATTGGCTCTTCCATTACTCGGTGCCCTTTACCTTATTGTCTTCCATACGAGATGGTGTTACGTAGCCTTGATGACTGCTCCGCGAGATCTAAGGTGAGGATGTTAAACTGGCACGTCATCTTAACGTATTTACAATGCGATACTTAAGTAAAAAAACAATACAGAAATGTATTAAGAATCTAATTAATTCTCTACTTTTTGTCTCATTTATTACTAACTGTTTTAACATAGAGTAGTCTAATGTATAGTGATTTTTTTAATTTTAGAGCACTTCTTTCATATGTAAAAATATTGTGGATAACTAAAAAGTTTGCCAGAAAAAATCTATCCATACCAGATATATTTCATGAAGTTGTAAATAGACATCCTGATAAACCTTGTTTCCTGTTCCAAGATGAAGTTTGGACCTTCAAGGAGGTGGGTTATATGTTTTATTACATGGTTTAGTAAGAAAAAGCAATAACCTTGCTTTTTCTTACTTACTTAGGAATTTCAATACATTACAATGCAATAGTTCAAAGTATACTTTGTCAATGTAATTATAGATTTAAATTATGTGTCTGTGTCAGTGTGTGTGTGTGTGTCAACTACAGGCTGAAGAGTATTCGCATTAAGTAGTTCCATAATTTTATAATGTTACCAATTTGAAAGTAAAACTTATATAGGTATAGGTACATGAACAGTTCTACTTGTAGCTCTCTCAAACTAATAGAAAGTTATGAGTCTTGAAGGGAATATTTCAAATTTAAAACCAATGATCAAATTAGTCTACTCATTGAAAAAATTAAGTTGTATGAATTTTAATTCAACACATTATCATAGAGGCAGTACTAAATATAAAATAGAATGCACAATGTAACCTGTGTTCTATTCAATCATCAGATTAACAAAAGATTTTATATCTCAAGCTATAAAGTAACTAATAAAACTTTATAAGTGTTAAAAGATAAATTAAGGAAAAAAAAAAACAAAACAAACTTTGAAGTGATTACCCATCATTAACATTGATGACAACAAAAATAGATAAAAGTTCATTTCTGTACCCTACAACAGTTATGTCGAGAATTATGGGTCATCTACTACTATTTGTAAGTAATTAATTTACAATTAAAACAAAGGTGATACCTACTGTTTATAATCAGGTGTAATAAAAGTATTCAAGGACTAAAAACATTGTAATGACTTGTAACCTATTCTGTGGTTAGCTACGGTAATCATTGTCACAAACAACGGTTAATATATTATCTTATTTTTTAACAACATCTTTCTGAATTGAACTCCTCAAGTGCCGCTAGACTGTACAGTGTATACCGGTGAAGGCACTAAAGCCACTACACTGTAAACAGTGTAGTTGCATATCGTGGCTTATGAGAGGTTAATACCCATGTGTTGAGAATTATATGTGAATGACACAGTTGATTCTACCATGCATGTCATGATTTATCTCACATTAGTGGCAGTTGGCCACTAGATTGCCATATCCATAAGGGTATTAGATATTTAAAAATAAATTTTAAATAGAATCTCATTTTATTTTATAATACAAGTCCATGCTAATCCGGATTTGTACCATATCTGGATAGATTTCATACAGTAGTCTGACAGAAAACAGTGGGACTATTAACACTTTTTAAAATAATTTTAAAGATCTGTAAGGCGTCTTGCTAGTTTTTACCAAACTAAGTTGAACAATCTAAATATGCATATAAATGGCTGATGTTTATAAATTGAAAATAAAAAAGAAAAACTACAAGAATTTGGTTATGGTTTTTTTACAGTTTTCTTGCTGAAATTTTAACTTAAAATCTTCTGTTTCATCACAATAGAATTGATAAGAATTGATGACCTAATAACCTGCTTAATATCTGTCTCTGTGAGGCGACTTATCAAACTTCTTTTTGTATAGAAATTGCTGAATCATACACGCATAAGACATAAGTATCCACAAATACACACAAGCAGTATGTGCAGATATCTGTATGACAGATATGATACGATGTCTGAATTTATATGATAACTGCATTGGTTTCAACAGATTCTGATTATTTATAATACTTATTAATAATTCACGATCATAATCTAGTAAATAAACAGGGGCCCAGTGTGAGTTTATTTCACATCAACACACTCACACTGAAATCTTAACCAATTACAACGCCGAACGCGGTCGCCGTCGAGCGCGACCATCACGCGTGTAGATTTTAATGTTATTAAAAGTATATTCAAGTAGTAAACCTCCTTTTTGAGAAAAGGCCTGTGTCCAGCAGTGGACTCTTTAAGGCTAATGATGATAAAGTAGTAACTTTGGAATACATAACTAGAAATACGGAATCAACATCAATCGGCGTCACCAACAAAAAGAGAATATACCTACATACTTGGATTCTGTTTGTGCAAATCTCTCGACGGCTCAAACATAAACCTATGTGGTTTCTCCAGAAGCTGTCGTTTTATAAACTTTCTCTGTCAAGTTGTTTTATGTAATACGAGTAAATAAATAATAAAAAAAAATCACCTAAGGTCAACATTTTCAATTCTAAGTATAACATCAGAATATATTATGATCTGTAATTATGGTCTTGTTGAATAATAATACTGTTTTACGTTACTGACTTTTAAACGATCTATTATGTGTATAAATAATATCGTCCAACACGAGTTTAGGATCTGTAGTTCCAAGCAACGTCGTCGTGCAATGATTCCGAGACAAATTTACTGTATTAACATAAAATTAGTTCAACGTTATTAAGGTGTATTTTTTAAAGCTATTTAATTATTTTTAGGTAGAAGATTATAGTTTACGTGTGACAGCTGTATTAAAAGCCCAAGGTATTAAGAAAGACAGTATTGTTGGGTTGTTGATGAACAACTGTCCCCAACAGCCGGCTGTGTGGTTGGGAAATGCTCGACTCGGAGCGATATCACCACTCATTAATACCAACCAAAGAGGAAAAGCTTTGGTACACTCTATCAATGTCGCAAAATGTGACGTCTTAATATTCTCTGAGGAATATCAATCAGGTAAGACCTTTGACTCTTGCACTCTAACTAATCATATGAAAATACTTTTCTTCTTTGCACGTTGTATACATTTCCCTTCCTACCTTACATCCTCATTCCAATTTCTATGTTCTAATCACAACAGAACCCTCCGTTCCTTAAACAATCCACTCCTGTTATGCCCCACTCATACTTCCGCGTGTGTCCGCTCTTCGTTCCTAATCCAATCTGTCCTCCTTTGGAATGCTCTATCTCTTAAAATCAGGATAGCACCTAGCCGCCTCTCATTTGCGACGAAAGTCCTAGCTCGCATTCTGGACACCCCAGCAAATTCATCACATCGCCTGGCATTTGATTGGGTTTACCGACAATTCAAATCTCATCCATCAGGAATGAATGAATTCTAGGTCTCTGTTAACCTCGTCAACGGCCTGCGCCACGTCCTCCACCCTTGCCTGTGAATACAGCTGCAGATCTTCAGCATACAGGTGATACGCACACTGAAGATGTTGTGTGATGAGATTAATAAATATTGAAAATAAAAGAGGAGATAATATTTCGCCTTGTAGGACGCCAGAGTGGAGGTCGCACTAACTCGAAGAGGAGTCTTCGACACGAACACACTGCTGTCGCCCCAATGATTATTATGGCCATTTGCAACTTTGTGATACCACGGCCTCACAGAAAAGCGGTGTTAAGCAATTTTTTGTTGCCTTTCATTGAGTGAGTGAGGTTACCGGAGCCTAAATCCACCCTACCGCTGACTCGAGTGGGAGGGACTCGAAGGGCGGCAACGCACTTGTGACTTTTGAGTTGCGGGTGTTCATGGGCGGCGGTGGTTGCTTGCCATCAGGTGACCCGTCTGCTAGTTTGCCCCCTTTTACCATAAAAAAAAGAACATGTTAACATAGGCGCTTTTGAAGTGTGGAGACTCCTAATCAAACAGCTTGACGTCGAACACGAGCGTGAACACGTTGCACATTACAACACCAATAAATTAGAAAAATGGTGATAAGTTCCGCTTTACATTGATTCTCTTTTAGTTACGCTCATGTGGTGTTAATGATTGAGCGATTTAAGTAATGTCTAACTGCGTCATGTATGTGTCAACGTTTGACATAATAATATGTACTTTGGATTGGACAATATTTGCACGTCATTGTCAGAACTGCGTAATGTAATTTATTTTGTTAATTGCTTGGTTTATTAAAATCTGGTTAAACAAATTGCAACTCACACGCACACATACATGTTTTTAAGAACGATACACATACGATGCTCCTAACAAGTCTTCGAAAAAATTAGTTTGAAATGTGGAAATATTTGTTGTATATTAAAATATATTGTTATTAATAGGCATCATCTGTTCTTTAATAATGAACCTTAAACCTTTGTGTGATCAAAGGAATGATTATATGGAATGATTATATATATAAATATATATTGTAATAATAAAAAATAAAAATTTAAATTATGTTGTATTGGGTTTGTTATAAAAAAAATAAAAACTAAAATTGGTCGCATCAAATAGAAACAAAATAACAAAATAAAAGTCTCGGGCGCCAGATACCACCTTAAAAGAACACAGAACCCACCACAAACACAACAAATACCTCGGACATCTCAGCCAGCTTTGAACCTTTTTAAAACAAGGCGGGAGGCAGCCAATGAATACAAGATGTTAAGTTCTAATGGCAGTTTATTATCCCGTAGTGTCTGTAGAGTACAATGTGTCTTATGTCTCTAATTACAATAGGTAATTCTTATACACAAATTAGTACTGTCATTAATGCAATCCTTTCCAATAAGAAAAATATAAGGTTAAATAAATTTTAAAGAGTCACATGAAGACCCAAAAAGAAAAGAGTATAAGGGTAGTTGTAGCAACGCCCTACTCCCTTAATTAAAATTAACCCCTTTGGGGACCTGTATAGGTTTTTTTAAACAAAGTCGCATAAAGACTTAATAGACAAAACAATAAACTCTAAGGGTAGACATAGCATTGACCCACTCTCTAATAAAAATAACACCCCTTAGGGACCTGCAGTATTCAATGCCACGTCGCCAAGAAAAATATAACAAAACTACATACCACAAACCAATGACCTTGGACCAGTCCGAATGACATGAAATCAAACCAACTCCGAAACTTCTCACTCCGGCTCCCACGTGGTGGAAGAGGCGGGTCAGCACTCCCAGGCTCCAGACCATGGCGTACAGCTAAGCAGCTTTTTCTACCATTCTGGCGCTCCACAGCAAACCAATTTCTTGGGGTCAAACTCCGGCGAGATACCAAAATCGAATGCCACGCAAGGACATTCCAATAAGAAAGTAAAGCAATTTAGGCATTGTAAAAAACTTTAGATATAAACTAAAAAAGAAAAGAACCCTGATTCATCTGCAAATAAGGAAAAATTATAGGTTAAAAGCCTATCTCACAAGATGAACCATAACTCTGACAAGAAATCATATTTCACTTACCAGGGTTCTAAAATGCTTCACAAATCAAGCAGCGGCATTATAAGCATTATAAGCATTGCCTGTAACCAATTAAACAAAGAGTTAAAACCACAAATTCCGCCAAGCCAAGCGTGAAGCACGTGGCCGAACAAAACTCACCTTTTTAACGAAAATAAAAACTCAATCAATAATTTGATTCTTAACGAGGTTGGCCGAAAAATAAAAGTAAGAAATAAGCCCTCGTAAGACATAAATTACAACAAAAAGTCTACATTTTAAAAAATCCAAACTGCTTCGTCCTGGACCGACGCCAAAAGTGAAAAAAGTGATACCAGTGCAATAACCTCTCGCTTCATAGAGCGGGGAAACAAAAATGTTGCCAGAACAGGAAAAATAAATCGACTAACCAATCGCGGGCGAACAACATCGATTATTACTCTCGTCCGTCCCTCGACCATCGGCACACGCAGAAACGACAAAAAATTCAACCTAACAAAACAAAAACGAGACTAAGGTTCAAATTACTGTAATGGCGCGAAATGCACCGTTACAATATACACCGTGTTAGGGACATCGTGCCGAAAACTGAAATAGCGTATTCAGAGCATCATTGGATTTTTCTTGTTAATTTTTTTTTCATTCAACAGAACATTTTACCGAAATAAAACTAATAAATACCGCATACAGCTAAAAACTGCAATGTAATTAATCAAAGCATTAAAAAGTTTAATGCAATCAGCTGTCGGCGGCGTCAAACGTTAAGGTCATTCCCCCGTATCGCCCAAAATTTGTAAATTTTCCAGAAATGTATGATGCGGTTCTGATACCATCTATTCTGCTTGACCATCTTGTTTCAGACAATGGGTTTAAGGTCAGGTTTATACATAGAAAGCGCGGGGATTTAGATCCAGCAATCTTTTTTGAAGACCATTTCTCTTACGCCGCATATTTGATCCATTATCATATCCTTAAGTTGTTTATGTGTCTACTTTTTCTATAATAAATGACATTAATCCAGTTGTACTGGATCAAAGTATTTAAAACTTCTGGCCAGGGTCTAGGGTCAACTTTGGAAAAAGTTGGTATTAGTGACGATAATTGTCTTGGCGGTGACAATGGTGTTTCAGGCAGAGGCACGGACGTAACTTCGGCAGCATCATCTTAAATACATATATTATTTAGTCTTATTTAAAAACCGTGTTTTTACTACTACTTGAATTTCTTTCTCCTGCGGAATTTGAAAACTAAAAACAGAACAAAGAACGATGATTGTGTAAACACATACATAAAAAGGTTCAAATATATAAAACAACTAGCTGAGACCCGCGGTGTTACCCGCGTTTGTTGTTATAACCGCGGGCGAAGCTAGTCTAAAAAAAGTAGCCTAAGTTACTTTTTCTTTTTGGTTTAAAATTATTTATTCTCATTAAGAATTATAATACAATTCACTTAACATGAGAACATAATACTAATACACAACATATTTTATTTGTGAGCACACATAAAAGCGGTATTAAAATAATAATGTTTTTGACGGTTACCTACACTAACTTCGAGCGTAAACGGAGTGAACATCACACTACAAAGATGTAAGATTTTAGTGCGCCTCACTGGAAGCGATATTTTAATTTTTGTCATCAAAATTTGTAAGATGATAATTATTTTTAAGTGTGTTTCACTTTATTCTATATTTATTTAGCTTAATCGTTTGTTTGTCTGATTAATATTAAGATTCATACTTTTATTAATTACTTGTAGTTTTTAATTACATGATCTTTAAGCTTTTTTTTGAAAGAAGCGATGGATCGCGATTCCTTAATATCTTTAGGAAGCCTGTTATATAACTGCGCGCCTTCATACATGAGATTCTTTTTGCCATAGTTGGTGCGCGGTGGTTTCAAAACTATATTATTAGTCATCCATCCATCATTACTCCTTATGTCATCAGCTATCTGCCAGTGAAAGTCCCGTCGAAATCGGTCCAGCCGTTCCAGAGATTACCCGGAACAAACAGACAGACATAAATTGTAAAAAATGTTATTTTGGCATATGTACCGTGTAAACATACATATGCATTTAGTAAAAAGCAGTTATTTTAATATTACAAACAGACACTCCAATTTTATTTATTTGTATAGATAAATAGTAATTGAAAACAACGGCCGTTGAAAAGATATTAAATTTAGTCCTGAACGGGTCTAAAAATTAATAATATTTAAGAGTGTCAAAGATAAACCTCGGTCGGGGCTCCTTAGGACTACTATTTCTGTTGATGATCGATAAATAGTGCGCCAGTGTAAAATCAAGATTGTTTTGCAAGAAAAAAAAATAAGCTTTGGTTTCTGGAACTAAAATTTGTAAAAAATCCGACGAGCGTAACAAGATAACATTGCCAGAAATAAACGTTTGATTTTAATTTTAAAAAAATGATATAAGTACATATATGATGAATCATAGTTTGAACTATTTAGAAAGGGATGTGGGTAATCTGTATTTCGCAGTACTATGCAAAATATTTGCACAGTGTAACAGTGCTGTGTTTGTAACAGTGTCATGGGAAGGGCTGTCTCTCTTGGCATTGTATTAGCCTACTATTAAAAATAGGCAGAATGAAAGAACGGCTTGTGTTTATTCCAATATTCTCCGTGACAATTTAAAACAATCCTGAAATAACGTTCCAACAATCCTGAAATCTTTAGTGTATGCCAGGGTGATTAAAGGCAGTTTTGCAGTAAAATGATTAATGGGTGTCGGATTATTTCTCAATAATTCTGCTCTGTATATCGTAATTTAACTTTTATTTTTGCAAATTATAATCAACTTTTGTAGGCCACTGTATTTGGACTTAAGGTTTCAAACTCACAAAATACTTATTACCATTTAGCCTTCCGCATCTTCGTATTATCTCTTAGTAAAAAGTAAAATAACTAGGTGTGTACTTTAAAACTTAATTTTCTTTCCAGCCATTCAAGACGTTCTAAGCGAACTCAGTCCGTCATTAAAATTATTCAAATTCACAAATCGACCCCTGAACACTTTCAACTCCAGATCGGAGGGTAGTGGCGATGATATCACAGACTTCATTAATCTATTAGAGACGACGCCCCCTGCGCCCTGGGCTAAGGCAGACGGTGACGGATTCCAAGGAAAGATTCTGTATATTTATACGTCTGGAACTACAGGATTGCCGAAAGCTGCGCTTATTACTAGTGCAAGGTGAGAGAGTTTGAGGCAATGGTTTCTTTTTTTTTAATTTTCTGTTGTATAGACAGTACGAGAAAATGATGGCTTATTGTATGAGGTGCTTATATTGTTATTCATGTATGTCATCATGTATTCATCAATAGTTTCATTTATGTTTTTTGTGTTTGGTATAGACGCTTTTATACGTAATATGTATATTTTTTGTAATTTGGAAAACATCCATGGACCTATATCGTGACATTCAGGATCGACATGTTCTCCGTCGAGAAGAGACCTATCTTTATATAATCGATCATCCTTTCCTTCGGGTCTATAACAATTTCTCGGTTTTAAAAACCTAAAGAAATAATGTCACACCCCGTCACTGAGTTGTGGCTGTGTAATGACACATGAAAAAGATTTCTTAGTGCACTTATCCCGAACGTTCCATTCTCTACTCCTATAAGGGACTGGTAATATAAGTTATATTATAAATTGTTATCTCACTGAACTTGCTTTTTTTTTTAAATTAAGTTTTCCTCGTCTCTAGCCTTCATATGTAAATACCCAAAAAAATAGTATACCTAAACATCGTCAACCCTAAATATATCAATATGCCCGAATATAGATACATTGAGTAAGGTGACACTATAATTTATTTATTATTCCAGATTCGTGTTTTTAGCTGTTGGTCTTCATTATATGGGTATAAAGAGCACAGACAGATTATACTGTCCATTACCGTTATACCACACGGCTGGTGGTATAATAAGCGTGGGTCAGGCTGTTTTAATGGGCTGTACGGTTATAATAAAAGCGAAGTTTTCGGCATCACAGTACTTCCCCGACTGTGCCAAATACAAGGCAACTGTGAGTAAACATAAATATGATGTTATTTATACGCATTTATCGCGTTGTATTTAAAGCATATGGCATGATTGTTTGGTTAGTGACATTCATTTAAGACTTCATAACATCGCTTATAAACTAGAAAATTGATATATAACGAGAATAGAAGTTTTGATAGTGGGTAATAGAAAAGTGATTTCATTTGAAGTTGTGAATTGTAGTATAAAAACTAGAAGGAACCCTTTAAGTGGATGATTTAAAGACACAATAAACACGAATTGATTTGCCACTAGTTATGAATCTAATACAAAGAAAACTCTTGTTTGCCACTTTGGAAATCATGACAGAGAACGTTTTTTTTGTTAAACTTTTTATTACAGAATACTTATATGCAACTTACGATTTCAATAATGGTAATTATGATTTATTCAAACATATCTTTGATTTGTCTGACAACCTGTTAAAAACATTCTCTAAATGTCTTTTTCAGGGCGCCCACTACATAGGTGAGATGTGTCGCTATATCCTGGCAACACCGGCGTCACCCGCCGACAAACAGCATACTGTTCGCGTGATATACGGCAACGGACTTCGATTACAAGTAATTACATTAAATAGTCATTGTTTTTCAAATTACCAACACACGCATTTGAACTTTGAAACTATTATATCAGACATACAACTTGTAAGAAATATATTTAGTTGGTGAAGTTGAACATGGTGAAAATGATTAAAACTAACTAAACGTAACTGTAAAGAGACTAAAGTAACCAATTACTTGCAGTTTGATATTGTAGGTTTTCCAAACATCACCATGGACGAGTAACGGATTCACACAGTTGGCCATAAATAGACTGACATTTATACATCGTAAAATATAGACATTATTTAAGAATCCCGTTTTTGCCAAAAAAATTGGTAGGTCAAATTTTCAACATAAAATATTTCATTCCGAAGAAAATATTTAGCAGCGTGGTCACTAATTCAAACGTACAAAATAGTCTTATGCTAGTTACGTAAAAAGTGAGAGAAAGAATGCATCGGGGGACGCAGGTGAGGCGTGTGTAAAACTAGGTACAAAACGGTCGGTGCATCCTTTGTGTTTACCGCTCGTTCTTAGGTGACGTCAACAGTGCAAACAATGTTTTCTAATCGCGAGTATTATGAAATAGTGCAATGTTAAACGATTTTATCCGCAAATCAGAGGCTGTTAGATTACGGACAGTTTAGAACCCCGTCACTCGCAAGGGGTACTGCAAGGTCAAGACTTGCAATAGAGGTCGAAGAACAAATCTTCGTCTTCTTTGAACGGGATCCTCGAGCAAGCACATGGGCCCAAACTAATACGTAGTATGGAAGCTGATAAACACTGCTGGCTTGCACCCTTACCGTTATCAAAAAGTCCAAGACTTACAAGAAACAGACCCCTTACCTCGTCGACAATTATGCGAGTGGCTTATCGCACACCCCGGTGCTAATATTTTCTGGACAGACGAGGCCTTGTTTACTGGTGTGGGTTTGTACAACCAACATGACGAACATTGGTGGTCATATCACAACCCACACGTCGTTAGAAATGATCTAGGCTACATTTTGAATCTAGATACCTAGAAGACTGCATTTTAAACATTTATTAAAATACATGTAAAACAGTAGTGGTAAGTTAACTTCTTATTGCTTTTTTTATTAATGTGTATATCACTAAAGATTCATGTATTTTTTACTTATTTCAAATGTGCCCTTTAATTAAGTGAAGTTTTAGTATTTAGATGTTATGTTGGGTACTTTATTTATCAATGAAATGTAGCGAAGTATGCGATACCGATGGAGAGGTCATTGACAATTTTACTAAAGATTCTTCTGTGTTACTATGGACGGCACCTTCAATTTCACGGTGTATATTCGACAGATTTTCTAAAAAACACAGGTCGTTGTTCCTTAGTTTACACTTCAATCTGTGCTCAAATATTATTCTTAACCAATATTTTTCTACCTCTTCAGATATGGGAAGAGTTCGTCAAGAGATTCAACATCAAGCAGGTTCTTGAATTCTATGGAGCAACTGAGGGGAATGCTAATATAGGTGATTTTTTTTTATGATACTGTTCTGCAGCAATAATTTTCGAAAAGTGTAATCCAACTACTCGCTGGACCGCCAGACGGAAAAGTCTTAAATTTACATTTGTTTTGTAAATGAAACGTTGATATCTATATAATATATTGTACTAGCTGAACCGCGCAACTTTGTCTGCGTCTCAAAGCAATAAATTTTGCCCGTTTTTTCCCACAGTTTCCATTGATGCTCGGTTTCTATCGGTACTAGCTCGGTACTAGCGGATGTTATTTATAGACTTTTTCCTTCCTCAATGAATGGGTTATCCAACAATAAAAGAATTTTTCAATTCAAAAAAGTAAATCCTGAGATTAGCGCGTTCAACCAAACAAACGAACTCTTTAGCTTGAAAATATTAATATAGATTCATGTCATTATTATGTGTTTATATCATGTCTTTAGATGAAAGTTAGCAGTGACTAGTTAAGGCGTAACAGCATAACACACAGACAAATTCACATTATGAGGTTTAACCGAGAGTAAAACTCAAGAAACTATTATTTTATATTACACAGTTAACACCGACGGAACTATAGGAGCCATCGGTTTTGTTTCACGGATCTTTCCAAACGTGTATCCGATTGCTATAATCAAAGTGAACCAGGAGACAGGAGAGCCTATCCGAAATAGTATGGGTCTTTGTCAAGTAAGTAATGCCACAGAAATGTTAATTTACTAGCATCATTCCTAGTTCTAACTAGTTCAGTTAAAAATATCCTAAAGTATCTGTTAATAATACTGTTAGCATAAAATAAACTTGTTTTGTTTTTGCGTTTAAAGAAATGTTATATTGGTTGTTTTAGGTGCCTATTTATTTCTATAAAGATATAATTAAGTATGAGGAAATCATAGGATCGTTGGGTGTTAAATAATTAGTGTTCCAAACGTTTTTGCAATTGGATTTGTTAACTTTTTAGTTTGATATAGTTTTTAAATATTACTAGCAAAACACTACAAGTACATTGTTTAACGACGGAAAAGTATGACGTCACAACTTATTATTTCCTACAAGTTTCTACGAAAGTTACCGTTTTAAAGAAGCAACTGATTTGATTTGTCTCTCATCTATCTGATATATAATATTTTGTCAACAGCTGACCGAACCTAATGAGCCAGGAGTGTTCATCGGAAAGATCCAGTCTCAGAACCCAGCACGGCAATATCTAGGGTATGTGGACAAGGCTGCATCAGAAAAGAAAATTGTGAAGAACGTGTTCAGATATAATGATGCTGCTTTTATATCAGGTATGTTTTCGCAATATCGAACGTTTAAAAAAACTTTCTAACGGTACTAAATAAGACAAACTTTGTTTTTCTATGAACTAGGAAGGTAAGTCACGTATTAGTAGTATTCTTGTTAACCTCCTCTTGTTTTAGGACGGATTTATTTGGGAATGGGGTTCGAACTCGCTACCACTTAATCGCAAATCCCAGGCCGTCCCCATTACTACCCTAGCGCCTCATCAATTTATTTTATTCCCTTGCTAGCTGACCTACTCACATCACATCAACAGCCTTTAATAGTTGCTGGACATAAGCCTCTTCTTAGAAAGGAGGATCAATTACGGTCCAACTATTGCTAGACCACCAGACGAAAAGTCTTAAATTTACATTTGTTTTATAAATGAAGTGTTGATATCTATAATATATTGTACTAAATTTTCCCCGTGTTTGCTACATTTTTCATGCTTGCTACGACCAATGGGGGCCCCATTGGTCGTAGCGTGATGTTATATAGCCTGCCTCGATAAATGGATTATCGAACACTAAAATAATTTTTCAAATGAAACCAGTATTAGAGATTAGCACGTTCAACCAAACAAACAAACTCTAACTTTATAATAGTAATATACATAATATAATAGTCATAATATAATTTGTAGACAATAACTAAATTCAGTCAGATTTAGATGAGGATAAAAACAATTAACTTAAACCAAATTTTACTATACCTATTTATCCTACAGTTACCTACTAAGCAAAAAGTTTTAACAAACACCTTAACATCATTAACCTCTATTATTACAGAGTTAATAACAACTTTGCGTTTATCTGCTCAAGTTCATTCACCACCATCCGTCACCTGATTAGATTAAAGGAAACATACACTGCATACTTCATTCAACCACTCCTAGGTGACGGAAGGAGTAAACAGAGGCGTATTAAACGCTCTCATTTCACCGATTACAGTTTGAACCCCACTCACATAATAGAGGGACGGCAGGATTATTGCCGTCAGCCGGACATTATAGATTTTAGATGGGTAAATTGGGGGTTCAATTTAAAAAGAAAAGTTTGCAAGATGGGAAAGCAATGGTAGGAAAGGAATTTTGGTTAGGGCTCGTGCAGCATGCCGGCGATGTCACGCGCTTTGGTCGCGCCGACTCGCGGCAATTTTGACCTACGAAAAACATTGCAGCGCGCATGCGACTAGCGATTTGGGGTTAGTACTGAAAATATTATTATTTAACTTCGTGAAGCTGAGTACTTAAAGAGGAAATGGATATAGTATCAGAATCTTTTATTGTTAGATAAATTCTGTTTACGGGTTCGTGCCATCAATAGGATGAGAAGGAGAAGATTTACGTCTCCTGCATCCATTATTATGATAAAATAAAAACCAAAAAAGTTGCACTGCGCTGGCACAAGTCTTGCAACAGTTGGTTGTCAGTCGCGCTGCACTGAGTCGTTTAGTTCTACGTTCCATACGTTCCATCAAGTCGGCGCGACCGAATTCGCGCTACATCGCTTGCCTCTGTCCGGAAAGATTGTAATTAAAGAAAATCAGAATATAAATTCCTTAATACATAAGTACATATTGTTTTTAGGTGATATAATCGTAGCTGATGAATTTGGCTACCTGTTCTTCCGCGATCGAACAGGGGACACGTTCAGATGGCGCGGTGAAAATGTTTCTACTACGGAAGTAGAAGCCGCTATATCAAGGGTGGCAGACCATAGAGATGCTGTCGTTTATGGAGTTTTGGTTCGTAAAATTAATTTATTCCTCCAATTATCTATTTTTCATTTGCGAATGTGAGTGTGCATTTCAGATCTTATAATCTATATTTTTTTGGATTTACACCATATTTCGCTATAAGGCGTGCAAAAAACAATAATAATTAATGGTGTCAATAAAATCAAAATGTATGATCACTTTCGACACATTCTAATGGTTGTGGTTTTAGATGACAATAGACGATTAACTAGAATGCCATAGCTGTGGCATTCTAGTTAACCAAAACTAGAATGCCACAGCTATGTTATTATTAATTTTGTTACCCAAAATTTTTAAATGTTAGGCGCCCCTAAATATGATAAATTCGAAATTTAGAAAAAAAATCCTTAACAATTACAATATTTTGAGATAAAGATTCCTAAATTACATTACACTATTTAGAAAACTGTCGTGTGTTTCATAAATGCCAGTGTAGGTACATAAAGTCGTGACTGTTTTTTATAAACAGTTCCAGGTATTACGTAATAGATCGAAGTTCATCGTACCTAATCTATTAAATACGTTAAATTAATGATCCTTAAATGAATTATACGTTAATGTTAGGAAATATATTTTAGGCTACAGTTTTTCCCGTGCTTGCAACATTTTTCATTGAATTGTAAAATCGTTATTTTATCTTTATGAATAAAACCTGGACTGATGGGGAGGCAGACATAGGTCTGTTAAAACATTGTTGGCTACCACGTGGCGTAGAATTTGTATCTGCCAAAATCTTTGTTTACTGTTAAACCTATTTACTGTGCGCTTATTTGCTCACACAACAACGCATTTGTTATTACTACATTATATTTATCCTTACAAAGTATGGTCCAGTCGACCTATGAGATATACACACAAAATGTTTTGGGCTCACCTTGTGCCGTACGAGCTACATTACACTGTGGGTGAACCATGCTTTAGCACATATTGGCCAGGCACGACCGGAGAGATACCACGACCTCACAGAAAACCTATGTCAAGCATTTCTATCGTAGCTTTTCACCGAGGCCAAACCGCCCCCCTCCACTTGATTTTGGGGGAGGGACTGAAAGGGCGCCAACGTAATTATGACTCTTGATTTGAAGGTCCACGGGTGGCGTTTGTTACTTATCATCAGGTGACCCGTCTGCTAGTTTTCCTCCCTGTACCATAAAAATCCGTGTCGGGGTCGTGAATTCATAGTCTAAGAGTGCGAAGTAGTCCAAAAGATAATCTCCTTTTTCATATTCCATCCATCTTTTCTTGTACCTGTTAACTTGCATACTGACATAAAACTCAACATATTTTGCGGTTACATCTATTATCTTCTCTTCACATTGAGATATAATAATAATAATAACTTTACACATCTCACACAAGGCATAACATTTACTTTTTACTCAGGTGCCAAATGTAGAAGGACGTGCGGGCATGTGCGGCATCGTTGACGTAGACGGTACTCTAGACCTGGACAAACTAGCAAAGGACCTGGCTAGAGATCTGCCTGTGTATGCGAGACCTGTTTTCATCCGCGTTATGGATAATATGGATATGACTGGTAAATCTCTGGTTTTAATTATTTTATTTTTTACTTTGACCTTTTCGGTACACGAGAAATCGTAAATAAGTCGCTTTTTATGAAGATAAATGATCTAGTATCTCAAAAAATAATAGGACAGCAGTTAAATGAATACAATGTCGTCTTTGCCATCTAGCATAATGGTTATTAGTTTTTTTAGGACAATGCGAAAAACATTATGAATAGACCTCTTGGCAAAACCACTTAATGATTATTACTATGGTTACAACCTTGACAAATGTTGGTACGACTATACTGATCACGATTTCTTTGTGACACAACATGAGTTTGTTAATAAATAATATTTTATTTTCTAAGGTACATTTAAAATGAAGAAGACTGATCTGCAGAAGGAAGCCTTCGATCCAAAATTTGCAAAGAAAGACAAAATGTATTACCTAGATCTGAAACAAAACCGCTACCTTCCTCTTACCGAAGACGTCTACGACAAAATTGTCAGCGGACAAATTAGGATATAAACTACTTAAATTGTCATCGGTGTTGTTGTAGCTCCTGGTGGAAATGACATACACTGTCGTAGATGTCAATTAGTGAGATCTGATTGGTTTAACCAACGTCCTTATTTTATAGAATTATTTATTTTATTATTCGTTTTGCGTTTACACAGAGAGTATAGTATCGATACAGTGATAATGTTCTGGCCCAAGAAAGTGTTTTCAATTAAATTATACCTGGCTGTATACACAACATACACTTGGATGAACACACTCGCAGTGTCGTCACTGTACTCGTTGCGTGAGATCAATAATGAGAAACCGTAAGTGATATATATACACACATTTTTTTTTCGATAAAATAAATCACAATACTCAAGTATATTATCAGTAATTTAGATGTAATGACATCGCAAAGAAAACTCCTTTATAGTCAAACCGCCGTAAGCTTGGCCCTCCCGATGGTTAGCGGGACGCGAGGCGGGTGATGACTGGTGACTCGACATCTTCAGATTTATTTGTTTGAGATTTAATCTACACACAATGTAATAAAAATCGAATTTATTTCCATGTATTATAATTTCAGTATATTGTAAGTTTTTATGATTAATTGTATACAATTTTACAATACTTGTAAAATAATTTTAATAAAAAAAATACAGCGTTTTTGAATATTGTTAACAGAGCACTCATTGGTAGGTTTAATTTTATAGGGTTGGTATATATGTTTAGTTTCAAGTTTTTCTTCTCTTTGCAGTGCTGTTGTCCTGCGTAATTTGCTCTAATATTCGTCTTTTCGACACCCACTTGATGCATAGGGGTGGTGATACTCCGTATTCTTAATCCATCACCACACGGATAATCGACAACTTCTGCCGTATATTAATCAAGTAACTTAAAATAAAAACAACGAGCAACGTTTATTAAAGAATTCAAAATTAATCCAAATGTTCTATAATCTTTTTGTGACGCAGAGTCAGCAGATTATCCATGTTCCAAAATAATACCGTGTGTAGCAGAAAGAAGAAGTGTCTTAAGAAAAAAACACGTACAGCCATACTTTTACGTCGGTCACTGCCGGCGGACAGCGACACACTATCTAATTGGTTGAGCGTACCCCGCAAACCATCGGGAGGGCCTAGCTTACGGCGGTTTGACTATAGTTATGGACAATTATCAAAAGAGACGTTACCATAAAAAGTAACTGTAAAGCTGAAAAAACTGCTAAACTTTAAAAACAGACAAAGTTAGACTTGTCGAAGACTTGATCTTATTTGTAATAAGTAAATATAAATTCACTTTAGCTTCTTTTAAATTTACTCCGTTAAGAAAAATAAAATATTTATGTATTATACTGATAATAAGTATTTATCATGTAGTATTATTGTTTGTAATGTTGTTATTGTAGTTAAATCCCGCTACAGGGTTGAAGGCTAACTAATCAAGAATTAAGGATTCATTCCGAAAAAAATCCAATATCATTAAAAATGACGATTACCGTTTCATAAATGTATCCATTTGTGAATCAGTTATCATTATTTGTTGTAATAATTTACTGTACTATGTATTTGTAATATGGTGTGGGTTTGAGATTGAAGTCTAAAAATCTTTTTGTATCTGAAGGTACACTTTTTTTATATGTATAGATAACCTATATGATTCTCATTTCTGAAGTTCTATAAACAGGTTTATAAAATTACTTTTATGCTACCAACTCTGCAATGCCAGGTATTTACGCAAATGGTCTCAAGTTAAAATAATCAACTGCTTAAATATCTGCCACGATGGGCCGGGCTGATTACACAGTATTTTATGAACAAAGTGAAACCATGTATCATCATCAAAATCTTGAAAACAATGTGATAGTGTAGTGATAGGTTTGACTCAAATGGATGGAAGGTAGAACAAATTTCATGTACTCAATTAACTTATACTCATTTATTAGCAATTTACTACGAGACATTGATTAGATTGCAGAACTAAAAATCTGACGGGCCTTTTTAATAATTTTAATTTGTGGACGCGGTTTAATTCTGAGGTGTTGGAATATTTTTAAGTAAATTAGTGTTATTATTTACTATAGAATTTAATATAATGGTACTAAATTATCTTTGGCATTAATATATTATCGCTTTAAATCAAAATATACAAAATCTCATTTCTTTTATACTTTTTATGAAAATTATTACTACTTTTACTAGTTACTAGCATAGTTACCTTACTTGCCCTGTTTATACTTTACTTTTAACTATACAATCTCACATGAATTTTACAGTCAGATATTTAAAGACTGAAAGTTTATGTACACATTTGTTTTGTTATTATACTTATAATGTTATTTAATGGTATGGGATATGTTGGAAAAACGACATTAAAATGTATATTTTAATACAATAATATTCCGTTTTATTACATTCCCCAAAAACAAAACAAGCGTCTTGAAATCTCTGATCAGTTTTTAACAGTCACGTAAAGAGAGACCAAACATCTCTTCAATAATAGCTTATTGGACCAGGCGGCTTATTGTCAATACCTCCAAAATGATTATTTTTCAATTTTGGTAGTGTTTGTTAATTTAAGAATTGGCTGGCCTGTTGGTTTAGTAGTAAGTGACCCTGACTGCTAAGCTAGAGGTCATGGATTTGGTTCCCACCCAAGGCAAATAATTGGGTGATGAGCACCATCATTTGTCCTGTCTGAGTGTAATTTATCTATACTAATACTATAAAGCTGAAGAGTTTGTTTGTTTGTTTGTTTGAACGCGCTAATCTCAGGAACTATTGGTCCGATTTAAAAAAATATTTCAGTGTTAGATAGCCCATTTATCGAGGAAGGTTATAGGCTATATATCATCACGCTAAGACCAATAGGAGCGGAGCACCAATGAAGAATGTTTCAAAAACGGAGAAAATTTATTACTATTGAGAGACGCAGACGAAGTCAGCTAGTCTATAATATGTGTGGATTTAGAAAGAATTAAGTATATTTATCAGCAGTCTGGTTACCATAGTACAGGCTCTGCCTAAATTGGAATCAGACGGCCGAGTGTAAGATGTGTTAAGTTATTAATTTAAAAAAAGATTCTCACTCACTAGTAAAATATACAACATTGTTCAGTCAATGATGTTTGTAGATACTACCGCCGGCACCGTGAACATTTTATTTATTTATAAGAAATATGTACCTACCTACATTAGCCACCTGGTTTAAAATTAAAGCCTTTCCTCGGCAGTGTTTCCAACCCCAATATGTAACATACAATAATAAGTAACTACACATAGCTCAGTTGTCGAAGTATTTATACATATAACAAACCTTTGTATTACCTAAAACAAGCTATTGTTGTCAATAAGTAACCTCTTATTGTACACTTCCTAAACGTAATGACATCAATATAATGGGCTAATTGATTAAACATTGCACCATTTCTAGTTTCGGACAATATTACTAAACAATAGCTACAAGTAAAATCTGTCTATATAATCAATACTTACCTATATAAACTTTATTTTTCACATTGCATTGCCCTTATAAACATTGATCCCTCAGATCCTAAAAATAAGGTATGTTTGTTAAATCTGAGATTGATACATACTTAGTACCCTAAGATCGAGAAGTTGATGCAGACGACTTATTTTATTAAAGTTATATTAAATTGAAAACTTATACTAAGATTAGGAAAGTGTATTACAATTGACAATACATACTTATAAATATAATTATGTAGTACCTGAACGAACATAATGAAAGTGCGTTAGGTTAGAACACTACACACTGCTATTGCGACTGAAAAGATGATGTAGGTATGTCTGATAGATTTCATAAAAAGGAAATCCATTGGCCGGGGCATATTAACCATACTTCCACCACCATATTGTTGCATCGTTCAAACTGTCTGAACATTATGAATATTTATGAATAATGCTTTGTTAATGGTAAGATTGATGGAATTGTACAGCATCGAATCAATACGGGATGGATGAAGTGGCGGCAGATAACGGGAATAATATGTGACCCTAGTTTCCCCTTTACACCGGAAGGCAAAATTTATCAAATTATCATCAAACCTGTTCTGTATGGTTCTGAAAGTTAGCCCATTAAGAGAACGTATGAGAAACGATGTGTGGTGTGACTCAGATGGACAAGTTTAGAAATTACTATAGACGATTGAGTCTGAAAGTAGCGCCACAAGATGAAAAGTTAAGAAGTAATAGGTTATCTTGGTATGGACATGTCATGCGGATGGATAAGAAAAGTTTGTCCAAGAAAGTGTTAGGTATGGTAGTTGAAGGGTACAAGAAAATAGGAAGGCCGAAAGAAATTTGGATGGACTGTGTGAGTGAGGATATGGCTAGGAAGGGCGTAAACAGTGAGATGACGAATGATAGAGTAGAATGGAAGAATCAAGAAAATTGGGATAAGGACAGGCAGATGATGATGATGCTTTGTTAATCATTTGGTCCATAATATTGGATCCATAACACTTTTTTTAAGTGCCCGTAGGTGTTATCTTTAGCTTTGTACCAATTTTCTCCATAACAACAATAGATAGGTACTCCTTATTGCACACCATGGAAAGAAAACAACAAGAATAAGAAAAAAACTGGTACAATGGGCGGCCTTATATCTGTCTGCGATCTCTTACAGGCAACCTTTAGATGGACTATACTGTATAGTAACCTCTGATATGCCGCTACACTGTACAGTGCTAACCGGTAAAAGCACTTTACAGTGTAGTGGCGTATCAGAGGGGTGGCATGTCAGGGGGTAGTATGTAGTTTGTGGTGTGCATTTAGAATATACATTTATTCATGAGATTAACATACATACGTTGTACATACATATTCATTTATATCAGGGATAAACATTATAAAGAGACCTTGACGAGTTTTTAAAAAGTACTTACTGACTTTGCCCGCCTTATAGCTTTCGGTAAGAAATTCCATAGGCGTGCTGCTTGTACTGTGAAGGATGTATCAGTAAAAGTTGTAGTGTAATGGAATTTCTAGTGTCAGATTTGCCGATGATCTCAAGTAATCCCAAGCATCGTGTATGTGTGTCATGGATAAATGAGAATTGTTTCTTTAAGTAAATAGAAGTAGCAGTATTAAATAAAATATCATAAAGAGAGGATATGAGTATTCCGGCGAAGCCGAATTGGGAGCCACTGGAGTTTTTTACGTATTTCAGAAACGATCATATTTGCGCAACTCAAAAGTCATTCAAGTTTATCGAATTGGTCCGCGTTCAAATCAAGGTTCATTCTACAAGGTCAATTTTAGTGGTATATATTCCAAAACAATTTTTGTTTTCCAAAACCGCTCAAGTTTGCTTAAAAACTTCTTTGCTCTAAAATATTGTTTAGGTACCTATACTTTGGAATTCTGGTGGCAGTTATTAATGCCGTTATATTCTCTTACCTACAGAAAATATGTTTTGAAACATTTGTTATGCCAAACAAAAAAAAAGTAAATATTTTATAATTATTTGTTTTAATATTTATTCAGATCTCTATCAGCTTCGGAAAATTTAGTGGTAGGTAAACAGTAGGTATAAGTACAGGTTAAGACAAAGGACTGTAAGTCTAATAAGGTTTAATAACTCTTGTTGTGACAGACAATCGGTGTCTATGTGCACATCAATTAAAAATAAATTCGAATTTGGAACTTTAGGAGATAATCAGGAATAATGTAAAACGTCATCAATAAAGCCGTCCTCGAAAATTTTTAACTGTCGCGTCCTGTAACGGTATATTTTTATACAATTATCCAGAAGTTCAGATGAGTTAAACGGGGTGGGTGACTTATCGCGCCTACGACTCGGGGATCAGCTGTTGTTGGCGCATGTGCAGCTGGCGCGAGGGGAACCGGGCCGGCGCTCTCCGCCATTGACGCGGTCGCTTACACGGTAAACGCAACGCGTCGTTCTCGTCCTTCCCGCATTTATACGAAACTGTTCGGTGTCGATGGACGCGCACCTCCTCGGTGCGTAGTGATCGGGCGTCGTTCTCACACGTACTGTTTGTCTGTTACCGGTGTATAGTTAGCCGCTGTGCGCCCTACTGGGCTAATCGCCAGCATGGACGCAATACTGGCAGCGCTCGTCGCTCTCATGGCACTGGCCGCCGCGATGGCCGCCGTGCTCAGTACACTCTCTAAGGCGGCGATATTCGTCATTCTTGCAATAGCACCATGTGTGTACCGATACAAGAAACACATTTACGTTTTCATAAGGACCCTGCCAAGAGACGTCAAGTAAGTGAAATTCATAATTTTCTTTTGTGCCTTATAGAAATCACCTGCTTAGTTTACATCTACGTCAAAAAAATAACTGAAATGTCAAGGGAACATTATCTCGTTAATATGTATTGACACAATACATTTGTTTCTATTATTATCCTCGTGGTAACCTTTTACTTTTGTATAGTATGTTTCTAACATTACTCGTTCTTGAAATACTGTACAATGACATTATCGCGACAAGAATAGTACATTGGTTATTTAGAAATGAATGTTTTACGCCTTAACACCTATTTACATCGCACGGAAAATAATAATTTCTCTAATAACTCTGAGGTCGTTTTGAAACTAAAATAATTTAAACACCGGTAAATACGTAGAATAACAGCGCTCCAGCGTTCGTGTATAGGACAAATGCCACAATCCTTAGTCCTTAGTAGGTAATCGGAATCCATGTGACGGCGTCCGTGGAATAAATAATTACTTGTCTTGACGTATGTATCAAATTTACGTGTGATCGTAATGAATATAATATGTTTGCCGATTGACTGAGAAATTAAATTGATTTAATTGAATGAGAGGTAGGCGCAGGCACTGTTACTCTGCTTTGCGTTTATTGTTTAGGTATACGGTGAATGATATTACGACAGTAAAGATTATCAGTACTATCGACAAACTGATAAGCCTTGAATTTTAAGAGAAACTAGTAATAGAGTAAAGCTGCCAAAGGTCGGCTATTTCATCACTTGTCGTCAGTCTGTTTTCTAGATTTTTGGGTTTTCATAATTATGTAGGTATTTGTAATATTAGGCCAAATTATACTTATCTCTTCCGATATTGTTTTCTTTTCTACTACATAAACATAAATCTATGCATTATTATGTTTTTGACTTCACTGATTTGTCTTGTATCGAAATTTTTACGATCTTACGCACTATGTTTAGCTAAAAGGCCCCAAGGAGTTTTATACTAGTAAAACAGGTTTAACAAAAATATTTAATTTAACACCTATACCTATAACTTTGATTTTTGGCCCTCTCAATAATGTTCAACTTACCTGTTTGTTGTGTGTTACATAGTCATCCTATGAGGTCGGCAAAAAATACAGCATTGTTCATAGTTCACCTTGAAAATATTGCCTGATTTGAGGGCCAGCAAACCCTCTTTAATTTTTCATCACTCGGTTCAGGAAATTCAACTTTTCAAATATAAAAAAAAACCGTCACTACTACTATCCATAGCGTTCACGAAGTTTCTTATGAGCCCAAGTTTTATGCGTGAAGGCTTTAAAATATATTATCAGGCCGCACCAATGGAGAATTTTGAATTATTTTTTGTCTTGAAATAAAGAGATTGCCTTTTGGAGCAAAAAGTTAAAAATAAAGAAATATTTATTGTTTTAACATTAATGTAGGTAGCTATTTCAACAATATTTATAACTTATCTTAAACTAAACATAAGGGTGAGTATAATTATTAAAACCAGAATAACAAGTTTATTGATATCGATTTTTTGTTCTATAAGCAACGTAGCGCTAATGAAGGTAGAATAACATAATCTTTAAGTAAGTGGTAACAGCTAGTAGTGAGCAGTCTTTCGTAACATAATGATTTTTCGAGTATTTTGTTTCCAATGATAGATCTTCTCCCCATTCAGTAAGAAAACCTACACATTAATACAACCGATGCGTGGAACCAAAGCCAAAATGCTGTTTATATAACTTAGTTGTTAATGATGTCAAATTCCTTCATTAAGTTTCAAAATTAATGTCGGCATAAATTACTCAGATAGAAGCACTGCGCTCTTCAAATTGATAAATTCTCTGAATGCAAAAACGAATAATTTCTAATTTTGTGGGTAAACTTAAACACGAAAACACAAGACCTGACGAAATCAAAATAGATAATAATATGGTGATAAATTGAGAGTAGGAAGGTAATTCAAAATTAGGAAGCACGATTCTTGATACCAAATATTTGAAAAAACAATTAAATAAATTAACAATTGTTTTTTTTTTATAAATTTGAACTCCGTCTACAGTTAATTCTCTAAACTTGAGCACGAAATATCTCCAAATCCATACTATTTCCTCTTAGGTCAAGGAACTAATTATCAATAATGTGAGGCAGTGACTCACAAAACCAAATTCCAGACTCTCTTAGTGAATCTGTGGGAGAGCCATGTTTCAGCACATTTTGGCCAGCTCAACTGGAGTAATCACAGAAAACCTTTCCTTTTCACCGAGTTTTCCCTACTTAACTGAATATAACACAGGGTACTAAGTACCCTACCACAGTACACCGGATTGTTGTAGTATATTGTGCTATGTTAATGTTCCCGAAATCTCATGGACAAACAGTATGCAATTATGTTAGGTAATAAAATTAAATATTAGAACGCTGTGAAAAGCCAAATTACCATAATTTTTCTGTGGACATAATCATACACCCTGTTATCAAACTAAGATGACATCAGAATGAAGATGGTCATTCAAGTTCATTTACATTTTAAATTTGAGTCGTCGAACAATGTCTGAAAAGACAGACTATTATTGTTTTTTCATAGTCTAACAACTGTTAGACTATGAAAAAACTTCATAATATATTGATTTCTAACAACCCTAGATAACAATCTGAAAGCCATGTGTTCTCTTTCTTTGACCTTCAAAATATTGATTTTTAAAGCCTTAATAGAACTGTGTCGATTAAGCCAGGAGCCCACACCACCATAGTGCGGGCTGCCGTGAAAAAACGTCGCAATGTAAATGTGTTGCTATGCATATAATATGCATATTACCGCATGTACCCACATATTAATAGTGTATGTTACGAAAAAGTAGGTGTAAGAATGATCCACCGATAGGTGGTATCCGAGGGGATTACCGCACGGAAAAAAAAAGGTGTAAGATTCTTACTAAGTAATTCACTAACCTAAGCAGATCATTCGATCATACTTAAACAATATGTGGTCTTACTAATACTCTTCCAAATACAATAGATGCAGATATTTGAGCTAAGACTGGTTGGTTAGCGTCAGTTAGTCATTGAGCGAGAAGAAGTGAAGTGATGATGAAAAGAATCCTTAACCTTGTTTAAAGCAGTCTTTACTGGAAGTATCCATTAATGCATTTCACTTCTATTTTTATCACGTTAAAATCTACTCTAAACCTACATAAAATAACATTATATAAAAAAAATGTTAACGTAGGTTACATTAACAATTATTGTTTCCCATCGTCCAATATAGGAGAAGAAGAATTGTTAAATAATACAGTTTAAAAAAAAAATGATCCTGATTAATCGTTTAAATAATATAAAAAAAAGGTAATTGCGAGCTCATAACGCAAGAAACTATAAAACATCATTATCATACAAATAATGTCCCCTTGACTAGACCATACTTTTGTATATTCTTTGTAACAAGGCACTACTTACCTACCTCTGACTTAACTCAATAAATCCTTCCTGACTTGTAAACCTCGGTTATCGAAACTAAAACTGATGGTTTCAACTACAATCATGCACTATATTAGAAATTAAACAGCTCTTAAGAATTAAGTATCTATAATTAGATTTAATTAGGTATATTAAATCCACCATCCTACTTCACAGAAAACTTTTATCACTTGTAGAAACCAAGTCTATATAAAGAGAACTCTATAATGTAACGACTACTACTTCTAACATAAATAGTCTGCAACAGTTAAATAAGGAAATTTGAATCAAATAAATACCTAGTCTTAAGTGCGAACACGAGACATGTGACCTACGTTATTATGAGAAGTATTATAGAAGATCGATTATAAGTGCGCCACGCCGTCTACGACATAGCGAGCTCTAGTCCGACAAGCGATTTTGCAAATCGACAAATGCGATATTGTGACGCAGTAGCAGTAACCAGTGTGTCACGTTTACGCTTCTGCTTATTGTTTCATTGTAAAGTAAATCGCATATTGGTAGTATAAACTACTATTTTTTTGCATATCATTTCATATGGCTTAGTAAACATAAAGGACGCCGTTTCAACATAAATAATGTTCGACAACCGGTCGAAATTCGACAAAATATCTGGAAAAATATGTTTTCATATTGTTTTATCAATAGTATCACTACTACTGCTAAGACCATTGATAGATAAGTAATAATTAAAAGAAAAAAAAATACCGGTTGACAAACAAAACAGAAAAAGGAAGGTACTGATCTGGTCTTTGCCTATTTATTTACACATATGTATAGATAATAATAAGACCATAATAATTATAATAGATAGTAATATTAACGATAGTAAATATTACATAATTTAATAGTAGAATAACTATACTGAAGCCCCAATAATGTGTATTGCGAGGTACCTACTCCTACTTGGATATTGTAGCTTATAAAATTAATATAAAATTTAATTATTTATTCTTAAAGTGAATTTATACATCATCTTTGAAAATTTCAACTGTCTAACTATCACGGTTCATGAGATACAGCCTGGCGACAGACGGACGGACAGCGGAGTCTTAGTAATAGGGTCCCGTTACCTTTTGGGTATGGAACCCTAAAAAAACAATTATGGCATTCGAAAATGGAACTCTTTGGTAACATGTTACTTTGTAATTTGCGAGACTGTCAAAATTGTTTTTCATTGTGACGTCCTTACGAAAATTGTGATGCTATCATAATGAATTTAACTCGTGAACATTTTCGTTCAACGATTTTTAATGATTTTCGTTGTGGCTTAAGTCAACATGAGAGTAGCCAGAGACTTCAATTGACATTTGGTGATAAACACCATGTCGCAGCTCTGTGTATGCGTGGTTTGGTGAATTTAGACGTGGACGTGATCATCTCAATGACGAGGTACGTGTAGATCGGCCGGTGACTGAGGTTACAGATTCTAATATTGACACCGTACGACAACTTATTGAAACTGACAAAAAAATAACTTGCCAGCGAATTCGTGCTTTGTTAGGCATTGGAAGGATTGAGGAATTGTGAAGGTTCGGAAGCTTTGCACTCGATGGATAC